CCAGACTGGGCTATAAACTAAGCCTTACCCACTTAGACATGTAGAAGTACGGTAGTGCTTTACAACAAAGGCCCGAAGACCGGTCCTTATGGTGACCGAGGTGCTACTATCAAAACCTTGCACCCCGAGCCCAACCTAAAACCATTTTGGGGGGTTTTGAGTAGAGGGGGAGGTGTATACCCAATTCCAAATTATGCCAACCAATCCAATATGTTCAAGTGATGTGATCTTTCCCAAAGTCTAAAGTTATAAAACCTCATAGGGTTGCCTAGTTAAACAACGAAGCATCTAGCTAAAATCATACTAGTGGAACCATAGATAGAGTACACACTAGTTTGGGGATTTATTTTCCTAGGGGGAACAAGGTATGATAACAATATCAATTATAAGGCTATAACAAAGACGGGTAGGTAAAGCTAGATAAAACAGTGATAACGCAAGAATTTAAATAAAGTGGTAATGCAATAATTTAAAATAAAATAATTTTAAAACATGGGACATCAATATGTTCAACGGAGATATGACTTGCCTTGCTCACTTTCCCAAACGTCGGCTTCAACCTCCACGTAGAGCGGATCTTCCGAAGCTGCATCATCTACACGGCCGATAAAAAGGAAAAAGACTATTACTCTAATAAAATCCACATAAGAGGCCAAAACAAAGCACATAAATGGGTTCTTGACTTCTTAAGAAAAAAATATAGACTTGAACAGTCCAATCCCGAGTTCAAACGACCAAGTTATGGCCATTTCAAGTTTATATGTTGCTTAGGTGATTATTTACTATTTTCTTGAATTATCTTTAATTTAAAAATGATTATTGCATCAGCACCCCGGGGTGACGCATGAGCCAGGTCCATGGGGTGGGGCCCACACGACAGCCTCACGGTCAACTGTGGACTGGGCTCACAGGGTTGCCCTCCACCGGCGCCGTGGGCCCCACACGTCAGCCACCGGAGGGGCGATGGTGGCTGACGGGCAGGCCTCACGCGGCGGCCACACGGTGCGCCCGAAGGTTGGCCACGTCACAGAGTTCTTTGGAGACGGGCTTCCGGAAAAGAAGTTGCAACTTGTTGACACACCTTGTCCCAGGCCAGGCCCACTTACATCTGGCAGCTTTTATAGGTCGATAAGGTTGGCCACGTCACAGAGTTCTTTTGAGACGGGCTTCCGGAAAAGAAGTTGCAACTTGTTGACACACCTTGTCCCAGGCCAGGCCCACTTACATCTGGCAGCTTTTATAGGTCATCGACTGCCCTCACAAACCAACACAAGTCTTTTTTTCAATCAGTCCTCAGAGTTCTTCGGAGACGGGCTTCCGGAAAAGAAGTTGCAACTTGTTGATATGAGTATTTTATTAATCCTATTAAGCTCTGGGCCGGGATGTTACATTTGTGGTTCACCCCAAACGGCGGCAGGTGGCGAAAATGGTGACCAGAGAGGAGGAAGACGATGGCGCGACTCAGGTCAACGGTGCGGACGGGGTTCCAGCGATCGCTGGCGCGGGGAGGGGGTGGACGAGGTCGGCGGCGATGGTGATGCCAGTGGTGGTGGCACCGAGGCGAGGGGTGTCCTGAATGGCGGCGAGGCTTGGCTGGAGCTCGGCGGTGATGACGGAGAGAGAGAGAGAGATGGCGGTGGCTCGATTCTATGGATGAGAGGAAGCGCAAGGTGGCGAAAACGAGAGAGGGGTTGCGGTGAGGGTTTTTGTAGCAACGGGGGAGAGAGAGAGAGAGAGCCGAGGAGAGAGGGAAACGATGGCGGCAAATTTTGCCGCCATCAATGGTGCCAGCGAGATTTGCCGGACTAAATCTGACCACGTTGATGAGGGAGAGAGAGGGGTAAGTGGGGGGAATGAGAGAGGGAATCTTGGGGAGTGATTCCCCTTCCAACATGGACGGAAACGGCCGGGAGCAGCGGGACTCGCGGCAGCGGCGGAGGCGCTAGGCGGAAGCGGCGAGAGGACGGGGATGATAGTGGCCCAGGGCGTGGCCGAGTGGGCCGGCCCACCAGCGTGCTCGCGGGGGAAGGAGAGATAGACCGGGCCGGTGAGAGGGGAGAGAGTGAGGAAGTGGGCCGACTTTCGGCCTAGAGAGAGAAGGAGGTTTTTAGGGTTTTTCTTTTAAGAAAATTCATAATAATTTCTTTATTGCTTTATAATTATTATTTGTGCTCTGAAAACTCCATTAAAATTTTGTTAAGCCTTTTAGGCCTTGAGAAAATATACAAAAATTCTCTAAGCCTCATTTGATTTTTTTAGATTGTATATTTTTAATGTTGGAAGCTTTAAACCAATTTTTACTTTTTCTATGAATAATTTAAAAGATACTTTTTAGGGTAAATTTGGGATGTGAAATCATGGCCTGATTTGTCAGTTTCCCTTTTTGCGGCATCTACCCCTAAGGCTCTAAACGAAGCAGCGTTTTAGCGCGTGATTAATTAAGTTTTAGCTATTTTTTTTTCAAAAATGGATTAATATGATTTTTTTAAGCAACTTTCATAGAAACTTTTTATAAAAAATGCACCGTTTAGCAGTTTGAAAAGCTTGCGCGCAAAAAACGAGGAGGAGGAGTTGGTAACTTGTACTACCGAACGGAGCCTAAGTACTATTGTCCTCGAGTTGCATCTCGAGCACCCAACCCTAGCTCAAGTGTAGCGACTTACCTTTCTCAGTCAAGGGCTCCTCCTCAACTGCTTCGCTATCTTCGTCAAACCTAAGAGCATCTCCAACAGCTTCTTCAAATTGGACTCTCCAAACACTCATATAGGCCTGGTTTAGTTCCTAACTTTTTCTTCAAATTTCCAACTTTTCCATCACATCAAAACTTTCCTACACACACAAACTTCCAACTTTTCTGTACATCATTCCAATTTCAATCAAACTTCCAATTTTGGCGTGAACTAAACACACCCATAGCCAACTCTTCAATTGATTTGTCAAGCCAAACTCATTCCTCGCTCCAACAACCTCTCCATCTATACTCTCCATCTATGACACTAGGACCCACACATCAGCCTCTACTACACCTTCTTTCTCTCTCTTCCTCTTCCCTCGGCACTCTTCCCGCGCGACAGATGCGGCCGGGCGCAGAGGCAGTGGCGGCGGCGGTTGTGGCCGGGCGCGGAGGCGGCGGCGGCGGATGTGGCCGGGGTCGGAGGCGGCAGTGCCGGATGTGGCCGGGGCAGAGGCGACGTACAGTGTACGTCGCCGTCAAGGAGAGGGGCGACGGCAACACCTCGCCGTTGCCACTCCCTTCATGCCCTCAACGCCAGCGGCCGGTGAGCAGGAGGCCTTGGCGACGCTCGCTGTCGTGCCGCCCCACCGCCGCATCCTCCGGGGGTGGGTGGGCAGGCGAGCGGACGGGCGGAGGCTGCGGGCTTCGGCTACTTGCGGCGGAGACGACGTTGCTGCTGGTGGCACGAATGAGAGGCAGAGGCGATGCTGCGGGCTGCGGCTACTCGCGTCGGCAAGGGAGGCGGGGGGCGGACGGGTGGATCTGACGGTGGCGGCGGAAATCGGCGGCGACGACGACATTGAGGGTCCTCAGCTGCTGCTCACGCCATCGAGATGTGGCGGCAACGACGACAGCGACGGTGGATCCTCAGCTCCATCCCCGTCCGCGCCGCTGCTCCGAGGTTGACGCCTTTGTTGCGCCCGGATAAGGAGGCGGAGTCGGAGACACAAATCAGTGTGGGGCTCACCATTTGGCCAGTGAGTTTGCCTCTCCACATTTGGCCAGGCGGTGTGGGTGTTTGGCCAGTCGGATGGCTTAGCCATCCGGTTAGCAACTCGTTGGAGCATGTTTTTTTTGGCTTGACTAGCTAAAATTTAGCTTGGAGAGGCATTTGGGGAGACGGTTGGAGATGCTCTAACCGGTTCAGCGAATGACGAGTTAATATAACCGGTTTTCCTATTCTAACAAAAAAAGGGCCAAAATCCTAGAAAAATACTCCCTCCGTTTCACAATGTAAGTTATATTAATGTATCTAGATAGATATATGTCTAGATCCATTAACATCAATATGAATATGGGAAATGCTAGATGACTTATATTGTGAAACGGAGGAAGTAGAAAAAAATGTCAAACCAATGGCCTCGTACGTTCCCTTCCTCTCTGTGCTCTCTACGGCAGCGGTGGCGCATGACCACCTCGTCGGCTGCCCGAATATCGGCCATCCACGAATAACTGCGGCAGCACGAGTGCGGCAACGCGGCGTCCAGGCCCAGTAGCGCGGAGCTCGTCCCGGCTGGCACCGTCTCCCACGGAGTCCTCGCTGATGCCGATGTCGCTGTGACGCCCAAAATAGCAAGAACAGAAGAAATGCGAAAGCAACGATATCGTTGGTTGGCTTTGAGCAAGCAATAGCAGTAGCAACCAGCCACGACGCAGTCCCAATCCAACAACAACGTTGTCATCGTCGTGGTGCTTGGCCTCCTCGAGCACCCAGGCGTAAGTGTCAACAGCGCCGCAGAAGGTAGCGAGGAGGTCCGGATCCAAAAGCATGGCGAACGGGCTCCGACAATAGCGGCGCGGTCGAACGAGCTCGTAGCCATGGAGACATGGCTGCGTAGGCTACACGGTGCCGTGCAGCCGCGCTTGGAGAGAAGCAAATAAGACAGCAGGAGGACGATGGTGAAACAAAGTTCCTTTTGTCTTTCTGCATTCTGATTCCTCTGACTAACGGCCAAACTGATGGAAGTGCTGTAAGATTGGAAAAAAATGACGGAGCTGTGCTTTTAAAGAGGCATAAATTTTTTTGTGCTATTTTCTGCTACTGGGAGAAGCTGTGCTATGAATTGAATTTCCTCCCGGCAGTACTCAAACTAACACGATCATTGGATGACCGGGGTAGAGGGATCGCATGGCGGGACAGGTGGACGGCTGCGCCACTGGCCCACTCCATCAGCGTCCGAACGTTTCACACGCTACCGCCCACTACCACTGCAGTGCACTACCGGTGAAGCTGCGTTTGCCCTTTTTCCAAGAGCCTCCAGAATTTCCAATTCCCAACACCACCCGCACCGATCCACCCTACGAAAAAGCACGCGCCCCCTACGCCGCCTCCTACTACCTTCCCCTTGCATTAAAACGCAACCCACTCTCCACCTCCACGTCTCCCCCCGCACGCCATCGCCATGGACGTCTCCTCCCTCGCCGCCGCGGCCCCCTCCCTCGTCGCGCCACCCCTCCACCACAAGCCCCACCTCGCCTTCCCTCCACACCATCCCTCCCCCGCCCGCGGCTCCATCGGCGTCCGTTGCGCCCACTCGCCCTCGCCCCATCCCTTACGGCCCTCCGCCGCCACCGCCGACGAGGAGGTCTCCTTGCCCCCGAGCCTCCGCGTAAGCCGGCTCGCCGAGGAGTTCCGCGTGTCCCCGGACGCCGCCGACCGCGCGCGCCGCCTCCTAGCCCGTGCGGCCGCGCTCCCGCGGCTCGGGGAGGCCGACCGCGTCGCGGCCAACCGCGTCATGGGGTGCGTCGCGCAGGTGTGGCTCGTGGGGCGGTGCGACGGGGCGGGGCGGATGAGGTTCGCGGCCGACTCCGACTCGGAGCTCTCCCGCGGGTACTGCGCCTGCCTCGTCTCCGCGCTCGACGGGGCGCGCCCGGAGGAGGTGCTCGACGTGGACCCGGCCGACCTCGCGCCGCTCGGTGGGGCCGCCGCGGGGACGGGGGCGCGGTCCAGGGCCAGCACCTGGCACAACGTGCTCATTGGCATGCAGAAGCGTGCGCGGGCGGCCATCGCGGCGCGTGAGGGCAGGCCTGCTGGGGAGCCGTTCCCGTCGCTTATCATCGGCCGCGACGGCGCCATCCGCGCTCAAGGCACCTACGCTGAAGCCCAGGTGATCTTTTGCTCGTTTGTTTATTATGTTCATTCCGTTGCTTTTATTGGTTATTCCTTCCGTTCCCTGTATTTTATTCCTGTGTATTGCCATGTTCCGTGTTCTCCATCATTTGTCCAAGCTTCTCTTCGGAAGGGTTAACAGTACGGCACGGAGCTACTCAGCTCTTCTTATTAGTTACTCCAGTATTACTGATCTCTGACTGAAAAGACGTGGTTTCCTCTACAAATTAGAAAGTAGTGTATATCTTTGATTTGTTGCTTTTCACTAGGATATGGCTAAAAATGTAAGTGCTTTTTCTTGGATATATTTGACGTATAGAATCTGCCAAAGTTGGATGCCGATTTCCATTTTCCACAAAGTTGCACCTGCAAAGAAAAGGTAGCTTTTCTATTGGTCAGTGTATTTCTCCCTTTTTGTAAATGAGAAAATGACTAGTGGTCATATTTATGTGTATGGTCAAGAATGGAGACTCAACTGTCAACCTAATGATGTCAACATCACCTCTTACTTTTTCCACTTTGCGTGGTCACATTGGCAGGTTGCTTTAGGAATTTAGTTAGTTAATTGCTTGAAATGTAGTCTCTACTAGTGCAAAGATATCAAATTCCTTGTGCAAGGGAAGTATACATGAGAAGGCTGTACTAGTCATGACTCCTAACAACAATATTACTTCAATAGGATATGTTGCGTGCAAGGGATATAATACTGCCTTTTGATATAGGAAACTATACTAAAGAGTTAGTAACCCTAAACACCTATTCATGCTACGTAAAGGCAATATGTAATATACATTCCTGTATTTTGTGAAAATGCTCACATGCTCTGATCGATCTCATGGTCATGGCCTTGTACTCCTGAATGGGCCACAAGGCCACCTGTGCCAAATGGACCATAAGGCTACTAGTTCTTTTCTTTTATTTTTTCTCTCTTTCTAGTATTACAGATTCTTAGCTCATTCTCCCTATGTGGTTTTAGTGCCCATGGGGTGTGGCAGCAGTTGTCTCTGTTTCCTACTTTAACAATAGAGTGTTGTAATGTTTCAACGCAGTTTAATTTGCTTCATCAAATCCTACCAGCACTGGTAATACCATTTTGAAAATAAAGTTTTTGAACTACCTTAAGTACACCCGTCAATTGTATCCATTTATATTTAGAGACCTTCTGTGGGGCTATGATATGTGTTAACCTATTCTTTGATGTCATCAAAAGCAGCTCAGTTTCATATTAATGCTAGTTCAAAGTTTCTATGTTTCAACTTATGTAGTTATGGTCGTAGGGGACTTTTTGTTTGTACATGTTTTAAAAAATCTTTGTTCAAAGGATTAAACAACTAAAAATTGATTGCACAAACACTACCTGAGAGCATCCCCAGCAGCTCATCCAAATTTCATCCTCCATATGCCCATATGGATGAGCATCCAAAAATGATTCCTCCTTCATATCCCTCTCCACTTCATTAGATCATCCATATCACACCCTCCTATATTTTAGTAATATCTTTTAACTAACTTTACATTTGTATTTTAAGGGCTATATTTTGAATGACTAAATTTTAATAGTGTTATTTATCTTGATAATCTCTCGAATGAGTAAATTTTAACGGATATTTTTTTAATGGGTAATTTTAACTTTCTACCCATGCTCTGCCCTTTCCTCTATTCTATTCCAACCCCTATTCCTCTTTTTCTCTCTTTCTCTATCCTTCTCTATCGTTCTATCCTCTTCGTCTTTTCCTCTCTTCTATCCTGTCCAGACTACTCCAGCTTCCACGGCTGTCGGCCAGCAGGAGTGGATGTGTGCAGGCGGCTGGCGGTGGAAGCTGAGGCGAGCGGGTGGCGCAGGCGGCCGACAGCCGTGGAAGCGGTGGCGGAGGCCAGCAGGCGCGGAGCCGAGCAGGCGACAACGCCCTCAGGCGGGCAGGCGGCCAGCGGGCGCAGAAGTGAAGGTGGTGGCCGGAGGGTGAGGAAATGACGGCAATGGCTGGCGGGCGCGAAGGCACACAGGCAACGACGGCAGATGCTGAGGTGGCGAGCGACGCAGGTGGCCGGCAAGCTCGTAAGCGGCTGCGGCGGCTTGTGGCTTTTGACGGCTTGGCGTCGGCGGCTTGTGGCCGGCAACGGCGATGACGACGACGAAGGGGACGTCGCGACGGAAGTCCGGATGGGGGCGGGAGCTCGATCCAGATGTGGGCGTTGAGATATGGTGTGAGGAGAGAGAATCGCTATATTTGGCTGAAACATGCTCGCTTTGGCGCATCATCCATATTTGGCGGAAACATGCCGTATCTGCTGGAGGCCCATTTTCACCTCCCGTACACCATCATATGATGGAGGATCTCCTGGGGATGCTCCAATATGTTAGATACCCTGAATAATTACGGTTGTGACTTTGTTGTACATAATAGAAATACCTCCTGTAAAGCTATGTATTTCAACAAATGTAAAATAGAAATACCATAAATTCCCTTCATTTCCACCATGTAGTCTTGAAACTGACTGATTTTATTTTGAGAAGTGCAGGCAATGTTCTTGTCTCCTAATGAATCCAAGACTTCAGAGCTTGTAAAATCCCTTAGGGAGAAAAAAATAGGGATTGTCGCACACTTTTATATGGATCCGGAGGTGCAAGGCATATTAACTGCTTCAAAGAAGCATTGGCCTCACATCCACATTTCTGATTCATTGGTAATGGCAGATAGTGCAGTGAAGATGGCTGAAGCAGGATGCGAATATATCACTGTCTTAGGTGTTGATTTTATGTCAGAAAATGTTCGTGCAATACTTGATCAAGCTGGATATAGCAAGGTATTTATGTGTTTATATCACTGATTGTCATTAAGTTTGAAGAATTTCTATTCTACTGTCTCCATTGTTTACTGGAAGGACTAAGTTACAGAACTCATTGGACCCGATTGATAGATGCGTAGAGCTGTAGATCAGTAGCTATGTTTTTCAAATCTACAACCATGCCATAAATGAGTAGATCAAACAGACAGATGCATCTGTGAGTATCTATATATCCTATATAGTTGAGACCAAAAGCTTAACATGCATTGAGCCACATTATCTAGAAAATAGTGGCCTCTGGATCTCTCTCATGCTTTGATCTCAACCATTCATTTACCATATGCATTTACAACCCACTAAATGTAGTTATTGCTATAAAGCTTAATGTACATTAAACCATGACACCTAGAAATGAATAGCCATTGGATCCCTCTCATGTTTGATACATAATCATCCATATGTCATGTAGAATTGTAGTTTCACATCAATTACTATAAAACAAATATTGTTCATTTAGATATTACGTGTACATGATTTACAAATTATTTTTTTCGAGTTATCTTTGAAATATTTTCAAATTTTCTGCTGCAACACGCGGGGTATCCACTAGTTATAACTATAAAGATCCTTTCATCCACAATCGTTAGTTGATTTTGATTTTGAAGTCCTCATTGCATAATCCAAACTTGGTTTTTCCCTAGTTATGCACGTTAAAAAGTATGAAATTGTTCTGCAGCAGTAATATAAGTTTGAAGTTTTACATATGAAACTATAGCCAAGGATGATGGGAGCATGTGCATTTAAGAGAACACTAACCACAAGCTTTCTTATACTCAATTGTGTCAGAGATATTGGGAGTAAGCATATGTATCTTAGTTCCACAATTCCAACTTGTTTACATTTAATATTTTAAGAATTTTATGGTTCAATGGTTGATCTACTAGTTATGACTTATATCTTAGTTCTACAATTCCAACTTGTTTACATTTAACATTTGAAGAATTCCATGGTTCTGTGGTCGATCTATTAGTTATGACTTGCAAAATATGGAGTGAATGTGCCAGGAGAATTATTTAGACACATTGTCAAGTTTCTTCATCAACAGAAAATAGGAACACTTGTCTGTCTGTGACACCATAGAATGTTACCAGGAACTCCTTACTTGCTTGTTAGGTTGGTTTGTTTCATTTTTGTTATGTCATTTTATTTCTATATTGTTTGACAGATAATTAGTGGGGCCAATCCCTTTGAAGGCCTTGTTTGCATGGGCCTCAATCTGGCCCTACCCATGTACAGGCCGATGGATTGAACTAAAACCCTGGCCCATACAAGTGGATGGGCCTGGATTTCGGCCCATCAAACAGCTTGAATTGGGTGCAATACCTATCCTTGTAGTGGTTCATGTAATGGACCAAAAAAGTCTTAAGAGTCCCAAGTCTCTGATGAACTTCTCTCCTTTAGGTTAGCTGTTCTAGATCCCTTCTCCTAATTGACACCCTTGTTCACATAGTCCCAATGAATGTTTATGCAATTGTGAACTATAATTTGCATTAAGAACCAGCTCTGTTTTACAGTTTGCCATGAAGAAACTACAAAAATAATATCTACGTGTTATTTGTCAGACATTAGAATGAAAATGTAACAACACAAGTTTTTTTGTTATGAAAATTATGCCATGCTATCGGTAATTATAACAGGTACATGCATCTACTTTTTATTTGTATTTAATAATTTTAGACTTTATGGTGCAGCATTCTGTTGGTCTTGCAGCTAAATAAAAGTTACAAAGTATTGGTTGGAGTCAAACATATTAGCATTTTCAGTGTATCCATTTATTGATGGTTACAATCCACAGCTATCTGATATAAATTTTATTAGACATTTCTGTACTTTTCTGAGTTTCTACTCCTGAGTCCTGACTAGTGTATATTTATGCAGGTTGGTGTTTATAGAATGTCAAGTGATCAAATTGGCTGTTCATTGGCAGACGCTGCTTCAAGTTCTGCATATACACATTTTTTGAAAGAAGCATCAAGATCTCCTCCTTCTTTACATGTTATTTATATCAATACTTCTTTGGAAACAAAAGCTCATGCTCATGAACTTGTACCTACAATAACATGCACTTCTTCAAACGTTGTAGCAACTATATTACAGGTAGGTGTTTTTCTTGTCTACTACAAACTCTAGCCAACCATGAATGGTTTTTTGAGAATGGACATTAATTATTGTTCACTACATTAACTCATTTTATTTTGTTTACTCTTATCCGTTAATCTTTCAGGCATTTGCCCAAATACCAGGTCTTAATGTCTGGTATGGCCCGGATTCTTATATGGGTGCAAACATTGCGGATCTATTTCAGAGAATGGCTGTCATGTCAGATGAGGAAATTGCAGAAGTACATCCAAGTCACAACAAAAAATCTATAAATGCCTTGTTGCCACGCCTACATTACTACCAGGTTTATGTGGTTCTGATCCTTCTATGTGCTTTTAGTTAATTCTCAATGATTTTGAGTTACAGATTTTCAACTTAATTGTTGTAAAGAATAGTTCTCTGCAGTATACTTTTCCTGCAAAAAAAAAACAACCTAATGAGACTGGATGTCCTAATCTTATATATTAATATATCGTGCCTTACTCATATATAATTTTCGTTGAAAGTTATCTTTAAATATTTCCACTATATGAGCTTTTTCTAAATGTTTGGTTTTATGCTATTTTCTGACCTTGTGATCCTTCTATATTTTTGTGTTAGTACTAATTTATCCAATTTCACATGTTTTTTAACCTTTTATTTCATATTTTATCCTTTTAAAATAGAAAAATGTCTATTTGACCCCTTTTAAGTTTGAACTACTAGGGTTTGCCTAGTTTTACCCACTCAACTTCAAAACCGTGAAGTAAGAAAACATCAATCGTCGTCTTTTCTATTTTTCATGAACCAACTATTTGGAACTGTGCAAAATTTCCTAGGTAACTCTCTATAATGATTTTGCTACTATGGGACATAATTCATAACATGGTAACCAACAAATTTGTTACTAAGAAAGCAAGATCAAAATCAATGACACGTAGCTAGTCGGTGCTGCAGATATATAGAGAAGGGCAGCAGCAGGGAAGAGAAAGATGTGTACACACGGAGGAGTGTTTATTGATTAACAGTTTTTTTTTTTTTTGAAAATTTGTTACCGGCACCACATCATCTGCCTTGTGATGTGCCATGGTGACAACCACTTTTGGAGCTATCCTTAGGGGTTTATTTAGATGGTTTATTGGTTTATTCTTTATATAGCCATTTTACTTCGGGAGTAAAGTGGATATATCGCAATAGTTTAGATGGGCAGATAAAAGTTTTCTTCCATAACATCTACCTTGACTCATTTTGACATCTGTCCCTTTTATGATTCTATTTGTTGTTTCTAAAATCTAATGAAAAACAATTTATTTCACAAGCAACACATTTTAGGATATTTTATAAATTTGTTCAATCAAACGTGCTGTGTTTCCTTATCTTATAGTCCAAAAAACTGGACCAGTAAACTGGAAAATCCAGTGCTGGTGCTTGGTTTGGTTGGTTTGCATCCAAGTCTGTTCCAACTTATGAACCAGCAAATACCAATTGGACAGATAGTTTTGCACTGGAACAATAAAGAACAGGGCCAAGTTGTTGCGAGTCATGCTCTAATTGAAAAGAATTATTGTGTTCGGAAGGGCAAAATTATTGTATATTTTGAATTTTCAACCAAACTGGTAAGGAATATTACATTTTGTTATTATCTCAAACTAGTGATTCAACCAGTGAACCGGTGGTTCGATGGTTTGTTTATATATTTAATGGGCGCAAGTATGAAAAATTTTACAGCACGGTATGAAATGTGTATAAAAACGAGCATATAGGCTCAGCAGGCCAGCAATGGATAATGTTAATTTTTTGTTTATCATTAATATGTATCAGTTTGATTATATAAACTAGTGTAGGAAGTTTATGCTTTCCTCAACTATAAAAAAATATTAATCTACTTCATGATAACTGGGAAGAGACGAAGAGTTGTATACTATGGAAATCCTTGATAAGGAACATTGTGCTGTCTCGTCTATCTGTACAGTATATTTTCCTTTCATTGTTTATTTTCCAAATTAAGTTTTAATGCTACTCTCATTATACAGCTTTCTCCATTTTATTGAACTGTTTCCTGTATGCAGGATGGTAACTGTATTGTTCATGATATGTTTGGCCATGAAGTTGTGGACAAAATAAAGGAGCAGTATTGTGATGCATTCCTCACAGCACACTTTGAGGTCCCAGGAGAAATGTTTTCCTTGTCAATGGAAGCAAAGACGAGGGGAATGGGAGTGGTTGGATCTACTCAGAACATCTTAGATTTCATTAAAAACCATTTGATGGAAGCTTTGGATAGGAACATCGATGATCATCTTCAGTTTGTGTTAGGAACAGAATCCGGAATGATCACTTCTATTGTTGCTGCTGTCCGTGAATTATTTGATTCCTATAAAACTTCTCAACAAAGTGCCAATATTGAAGTTGAAATCGTGTTCCCAGTTTCTTCAGATGCTGTTTCTAATACATCTGTCAATGGTTCCCACCATCTTGATTCTTCAACAGTTACTGATTTAGACAATGTTAGTGTTGTTCCTGGTGTGAGTTCTGGCGAAGGTTGCTCTATACATGGGGGCTGCGCTTCATGCCCATACATGAAGGTTGGTGGTGATTAAATATATATTGTTTATTTACGTAAGCTTTTCGATTATGTTATTGAAATGAACATGTAAGCTTTGTTCAAGACATCTATATACATCCATGGAAGCAGAGCCTTTATTTAAGACATGAATCAAGATGTCAAGAAATGTCACATCACAAAAACCTTTTCTCATTTACTAGCTTAATGCCCGTGCTTTGCTATGGAAAAAATAAAAATATATTATAATATTGATTAAATAAAAAAATATTTTTCACAAAATGCTTTACCCATCTTTTTGCCACAGGGAATATTCACATCAATTTTATTTTCCACGTGGCTATCCATTTGGATTTGATTTTTGAATATTAAGTTAAAGGGGCAATTTGCAGAATTTATAATGGGAGCAGGTGGGGTGACGGACTCACTGCCACCACCACTATACTTTTAAAGGGGTATAGATAATGTATTATTTGTTATTTCATAATAATGAAATGTAAAAAAAATATTGATCTTTTGCATTCTTTAGCTTGGTAACCATGAAACACTAATGAGTTTTTCTGTCTTTTTCTTTATTTCATTTTTATTTTTACTTTCTTGTGATTTTTCTCTTATGGCAGTTGAAGAAATTACAATATGTTCCCTGAGATTATGTTTGTTTTATGATATTAATTGTTTACCTTGCTCTAATTCTTCCTTTCCATGCAGATGAATTCTTTAAGATCACTGCTTAAAGTATGCCATCAGCTTCCTGACAGAGATAACAGATTAGTTGCCTATCAGGCTAGCCGATTCAATGCTAAGACTCCTCTGGGAAAATTGGTTGCAGAGGTTGGGTGTGAGCCCATTTTGCATATGCGACATTTCCAGGTTTGCCACCCTCTTTATCTTGAACTCTGGACATAATTAACTAACTACTAGTTCACTCATTGGCTTCCGTCCACTGCAATGCATTGGCTTTTTGTTCACTGGACAATCATTGTAGATCTGAAGCCACCGATCGTTATAATAGCATATGACTAAGGTGTTGCAGCTGGTTTCTGATTATGAAGTATATATGTTTTTTTTTGTGCTAACATTTCTAATTCTAGTATTAGAACGCACCATTCAACCTGCAAATTTCAGCAGGCGTGTAGAGTACTTTTCTGTGGCATCCTCAGAGATTTTTCCTTTTTTTTAAAAAAAATACCACTAAAGTTTTGTTTGATCTTTGATTACCCTTGGACCACACCTGCTGTTGTGCCACTGAAAATTTTGGGCCAACTACTAAATACTGGTTCCTGTTGCATTTTCATGGGCAGAAAGATCATAGAATTGTGTGTGGAGAGATGAAAGATCGAAAGCTATTTTATTGATATGGGTGCCACTTATTATTACCGATGTATTGTGCTTTCTTTAAAAGAGGTTAAGGCAGTAGTTTGTTTACATGTTCTGACTTCTGAAAAGAATTGCTCGGTGGAGGCGTGAGCATCTTGGTAGTTTCTAGGCTTTTTTCTCGCCGGAGGGCATCGTTGCTTTCTGGAAGAGCAGCTATCCAAGCAGATTAGGTGAGGGGAGTTTGAGTTTATCTTCTTACTCTCACCTGTTGCTGCTGGTGGTGGTGGTGCTGGTACGCTGGGCGTACAACCCACTAGAGCAGAAGAGATATGGAATTTCTTATTGCAGCACCAAGCATTGCATGGTTCCACAGGTTATGGTAACAGTCAGCAAAGCACGAAGTTCATTGCTGTTTGAGAGTAAAAAACTGGAGTAATAACCATCTCTGGACATGTTTGGTGTGAAACAGTTTAGTGGATAACTGGATATAAATGTGTACTTTGCAATTCTTGCATTTGCACTCAACTCACATGTTTAGGGACCTTAAGGGCATATTAGATGTTAAAAAAATGCATCCAACGTTTTTCCTACATAGCAGTTCAAAAAGCACATAGAACTATAACCCTCGTCCAATATGGTCCCTCGTGTAATATGCATCCTTCTCTCTCATTTAGTACTCTTTCTACACCTCAGAGACAAGGGCATCCTTCTCTCTAGGACTATATATAACCTGATGCAGGCCATGTATTGGTTTTGCTTCCATATTAAGATAGTAATATTTTTTTAAAAGAAATATATAGTTCTTGACGTTTTGGATAAGGTTGAGGTCAAACTTTTGTAACTTTAACAATCAATAACTTTAAAAGTATTTAGTTTAAAAGATCTAGAACAACATATATGGATTTGTCTTTTAAAGTTATATAATTAAAGTAAACATGTATTTATTTGTGCATCATCCAAAACGTCAAGAATTATGAAACTGGATTGAGTAATCTTTGATTCCATTTTCTGTTTATGTTTCAGTTCTGCCTATGTTCGTTTGTATTTTACTAGACTTCATATATAGGCACTAATTAATTATTGACAAGCCAATCTACATACATTTCAGGCAACAAAGAGATTACCAGACAAGCTCGTGCACCATGTTATCCATGGTAAAGGAGAACCTACATCATAGATGTTCCTGGAGCTCTATTAATTTCGTCCACCTGGTTACGGAAAACACCACAGTTACCCCGACTGAATGCAACCTTCAGCTCAAGAGTGCAACTACCAACTTTGTGGCCGATGATGAGATATCCCTGTTCATGGCTTTGCTACTGGTGGAAAAAAGGGAAACCAGAATTTGCAAGGTTAGATAACATTGAGCTGAAAATTGGCGGATATGTGTAAGTGCTAGAGTACACTTGCGATGTACAACAATTTTGACATTTTGTGTGTTGCATGAGACCGATAGTAAAAACAGCACCGGTATGTAACCGAAACCAGTAGTGTTTGGAGCCTCGGAGCTGGACTGCGGTGGTTTGAAAAGGTGAAAGTTGATTAAAAGTACACTCGAAACACTTAGTGAACTTTTTTTTAGACATCAGTTAATTACTATTACCCGGCTTTTTGGAGAAAGCCGAAACCAAGTAACAAGGTCTTTTCAGGAAAACACAAGTTCCGAGCGTCGGGAGTGGCTTGCCGGAGACCACCTGGCATTCCGCCTATGGGGTGAAAACTGGTAGGGTACGATCGGATCACAATATTTCTATATTCTAACTTATACTTTCTCCGTTTCAGTTTAAAATGTTTTGACTCTGGTCAAAGTCAAACCGCTTCAAATTTGTAAAAATAATAATAATATTTTTAACTCAACACAAATTTATTGTAAAAATATATTCAATTATTGATTTAATGAAACTAATTTGGTAATATAAATATTAGTATATTTGTGTATAAACCTAGTCAAATTTAAAGTAGTTTGACTTTGACCAAAGTTAAAACGTCTTATAACCTAAAACAGAGGGAGTATCTTCCTTTAAATTTAGAATCGGATACGGGTAGCGTTGGATAACATATCACTCATCCCGTATCATACCCAATATTCTTCGAATTAGATTCAGGAACGGATATTTAATTTATATCACTAATTGATAGATATTTAATATAAGATAATTGAAGTGCTAAAAGAGATACATCAATGATTAAATTATATAATATTACATGTGAGCTCATAAAGATAGTGATTAACTAATCTTTTATCATATTTATAGGTGAATTTATAATAGATATTCACATATGTTTTATAGCATGGGACATACGGGTGGATACAACCCTTCCCTATCCTAACTCATATTTTTTACGGATTCGGGTTTGAACTCGGATACTATCGGGTATCCTATTTTCTCTATATTATTCCAGCAAGCTTTGGGTTGGGCAGGCGGTTAGTAAGTACCCGTTTGTTTTCACCCCTAATTCCGCCTCCACGCACACGTCGCACCACCACACTTCCATCGTCTGCGACGGCACTCCTACCCTGCGTGTATTTCAGACGGCAAACATTCGCTCATTTTAGCTTCGTATCGAGTAGAAGCGGCTGGCTCAGGTCTCTCTATTTGCTCTGCTCCATGCCCATCCACGAGATGAGCTGGGTGTGAGGTTCTACGAGAGGCGGGTCGACGGTGATCGCGCTGGCACCTCACCTTGGCTCCAGTTTCCTCTCTAGTACGTGGTCGGTGGTTCTCGTTTTGGGTGTCTTATGGAGGAAGATTAGTACGAGGAAGACGACGTTGGTGATAGTACTTCGCATGAGAGTACGAGACTACCGACGAGGCTGTCAACGAAACTAGGGGTGTGTTTAGTTCCTGAAAAAAGTTGTAAGTTTGAAAAAAGTTGAAAGTTTGAAAAAAAAGTTGAAAGTTTACGTGTGTAGAAAAGTTTTTGATGTGATATGATGTGATGGAAAGTTAGGAATAGGGGGAAAACTAAACACGGCCTAGGCAGAGTGGGAGCGACGATGGTGGTCACCAGCTAGCAGCTAATGATGGTGGAGGCCATGGACGACCGGCTCGATTTGACGAAGCATCGCACGATTGGGAGTTGGGAGGGACCCTCAGCGACAAATACGGGAAGGGAACTCCAAAACGTGCGGGACCATTGAGGATCAGTTAGATCTAATATTTCACCTAATAGCTCTCAAAAATAGTTTTGGGATCTGTTGGATCCAATATTTCACTAATAGCCCTCAAAATCAGTTTTGGGATAATACAGTAGAACCGTTGGTGATGCTGCATCAGTTTTGGGGACAATATAGGAGGACTGTTGGTGATGCATAGGTATAATATTCCCCCCAAAAAAAATTTGTTTTTGGGTTTCTGTTGGCGGCTGTTACCGTGGCAAAGGGTTAAAATCGGTAGCTAATACACGCGGCAGCCCGTTCCTCTTTTCTTGTTTTTCTGTTGGGCCGTCCTGTTAATCCGTAATTCTCTTTTTTTTGGCCCTCTCCAAAAACCGTTACTGATAGGAAACCAGTACCATAAATCACTAAATCATTTACTACTATTTGTCAGACTGCTGATTTGATGAAGAAATTATTTTGAATAGGTTGTAAAGGAATTACTGTCTGTATTAGTATACTTTAATTATATAGAAAACTATGTTTTTCTCGCATAAAATAAAAGAAAACTATTTTTGAACAGGTAGTAAAGGATTTACTCCAGCTGTCCCGCGTGATATCAGTATTGGTAGATTGGAAATTAACTGCACAGAAGGGGAAACAATTGTTTTATGATGCATCTTGATAGTACATGTTTTCTTTGTTTCTCAGAAATTTGCGTTGCAGCAAATGTGATGACAAGGTGGACATGCAGATTTCTGCCACCTCCCCACCCCCAAAAAAAAAGGACTAGCGGCATACGCATGACACGTTCCCTCCAAAGAATGAATCTCAACCCTGTATAGAATGACAGAATCCAGGAATTTACAGACCAGAAGAATACGGATACCCCTCCCCAATGTAAACCAAATTGCACGGCATTGTCGGTAAACAAATGCTAAAGGCTCCAATATAAGAAAATGGCTATTGGAACACCCCACCGCCTATCTAAAAGCAAATTTATAGGAGCTTTTCTATACATCCAAATTTGTCTTCTGAATAGCCGTTAAGTTCTGCGGATAGCATTATGTACCCTTTTTGCCACTTCAGATTACAACTGCTATCTATGCCGCGACTGTGAATCTTCTGAGGAGATACTAGAGTGAGGAGAAGGCTCAAGGCTCTCGGGCAACTGATCCAATTGTGATGGCGTTGAGTTCAAGGAACTGCTTTGAGGTTCCTCTTCAGTATCAGCAAATTCTGTAAAATGTCAGGGAAAGCAACGTAAATATTATGACAATATCCCATATCTGAGTCTGTGTTACAGCCTTTTACCATGCAATATTGATTTAAAGGTCCGCCTCGTTGGCTTGTTATTCTTTTTCTTTACTTGAGCTGCAGAGCCAAAAGATAAATGGTTACAAATAATGTGTAAAGCACAAAACTATGTCCAAGACAATTTTTACAAGGTTTTGCAAGGAATAAATGCCAGTAGACTAGGAAAGGAACCAACCTATTCCTGGATGTTCAGGATCATCTGATAGTTCAAGGTTTTTGTAGGTAAAATTGAGAAAATTCGTGTCCTTGGAGGAAAGCATCTGCACAATAGAAACATTTAGTCAGGACCTAGAGTCAGAAAAAAAAAAGGTCACAAGGTAATTAAAATATGACGAATCACACTTTTATTTCAAATGCAAACATTGTCCTACAGGAAGAGTAAGAGAAAATATCGCTAGCCTGAAGCGACCCTTAGTAATTTTGAAATAAAAATGTATCCTCCAATATATTGACAATACAAAAAACTAAAAGCAAATGGTCGCCTGATCTCTGCAAAAAAGTGCACCTTTCTCCAAGGACCTGCCTTTGATGAAGTTTGCATTGGAGCAATCTGCAAGACACCAAACACACAAAGGTCACTAGGTAAGCACTGATGAAATAAGTCAGGTTACAAGAGCCACAATATATTGGACTTGCCAATGTACAAATATCTGCCGCCTCAGTGTATATTTTCTTCACACAACACTAGATGCAATAAAGGGTGTGACATAGTCAAACAAACAAGGCCAAATGAACTAATGATAATATCCCAGAGTGTACTGAATGGCTAAAAAGCTCATTTCCCTCTTGTCAGATCCCTGATAACTTAGTAGCATTTACCAACTAAAATGGTGGCTGATGTGCTTTGGTTTCTCTCATCAACGATGGCTGCTGCTACATTAGGTTGGCCAGGTTGTGGTGTATAGCTGGGGCTAAAGGCCTTGCTAACATTTGGCAGTACATGTTGTTTGTATAGGCCACCGGCCATGGCCCTTTCTATTTCTTTGGCAAGTCGTCATGTATTACACCTTGCCCTAATGGGCATGTTTGAGTCTTCTAGATTCATTTTCTTCTTCTTAATATAACGATGCGTGGCTTCTGCTTTTGGAATATGTAATAATAAGATGGTGCTTCCCATTCTGGCCAGAGGGCTTTAGTGATATGAACACTATTTCTTTTGTTGGCTGCTGCATCAAGATATTATTTTTAATCATGCGATAGCGAGGTTATGAAAGCAAATGTGCTAGCTATCCTAGTACTGTCTTGTGTGACCATGCAAATAAAATCTAGCAGGATAAGCAGAAACATTCAGGACTTCACACAATGTGAAACTTCTGCTATCAGTAAATTAGTGCTCCCTCCAGTCATGAAACATGTCATTTTGGACATCAAATATGTCTTCAGAATTCAACTTTGACAACTATTTGCTTGCAAAATATTTGAAAAACTAAATAAAATAATAACAATAAAAATAATATAGTGCTTTTGGACAAATCTATGCATATATTTTCTAAACATACGGTCTAAATATTCTATAAGATATTGATGTTCAAAGTTTTTAAAGTTGACTTGAGACATGTACTCTAATATGTATAGAGAAAAAGTTGGAACCATTAACTGGCCAAAATAGCTTCGTAATGACACCTCACCTCCTCAAATTTCTCAAAATTTTGTGTGTCCAACTCGTCATTAACCTCAGGAATAAAAGCAGCCTCCATCTGATATAGCTTCTCCCACTCAAGACCTTTGAACCACGGGTGTGCCTGTAAGAACACATCATGCTATAAATTACCAAACTTACAAACATGAAGGATGTAACAGATCATGTGAACCACTTTCACCTTTATCTCATGTGCTCCTTTTGTTCCAAGCCTCAAATCCGCGTTACATAATAGTTTGCTAATAAGATCTTTAGCTTCTGGTGACAGTTTGGCCTCTTCAGGGAATTTTAGATGACTTCTCCAGTTCACTATCTGTAAAGTTGAACTCAAAAGTTAATAGAAAGAATTCACATACAAATCCACAAGTCTTTGAAGGGACATGGCTTAGCTATAGCATTTAAAGTTACCTTCCTACATGTGGACATTGGATCTTCCGAATAAAATGGTGGATAACCCACAAGCATCTCATACATAATGGCTCCAAGTGACCACCTATAAAGTACAAATATGAGAGAGATATAAAACATTAGGACATGAACTGCAAAAGTTCATTAAAGTGTACTAACAAGTCACACTCCATTCCATATCCTTTCTTCAATAGTACCTCCGGAGCAATGTAATCAGGTGTACCAACTGTTGAATAAGCCTGCAATTATCATGAAAGTAAATACATAAAAAACACACTGCCAAGGCTCTTTGGCAAACAAATGATTACCATGCCATTTTTTCTACAATTTTCTATCGACATTTTGGATGTGTTCATTTTCATCTTATGCAGAATGCAGTGTAATCGTTTTCATCATGAACTAATGGGAACTGTTTGACTGTACAGTCAATCATCTCGTCATGCATTTGCTTTACATATAATAGCTAAAATTACGTAAATATACTTGACTTCTTCTAGCAAACATGTGGAATACTTTCACATCAGGCATGCATGTTTAGGCCTAGATTGGATAGATTGAATTTAATCAATTCTGTTCAGATAGGTATAGAAACTGAACTTATATCCCTACCACACTGAAGGGGTCTATCTTAAAGTCCTCTAATCCAAAAGGGCCCAAATGATTGTGATGCATACAGAATGTCCTCTGTACGTGTTTGGGCCTAGGATTTGCCCTGGCTAGGGAATGCATATAGAATTAAGCAATTAGACAAGAGGCAAAATGCTACTATAAAGCATTTTAACATACCAGCATCCGCCGATTCTTCTGCCAATGCAATAGCTGTTCCTGTTGTGTCCTCCTGGGAGCAGCAGAGCTACTTAATAGTTTATCACCATCCATTGACGGATTAATGTTTTTCCCCACTGCATAGTCAAACTCACTCAGATTTGGAAAGCTACTACTATCTAGAGGTTTGCATAAGCCAAAATCTGAAAGCTTCAGGTGCCCAGTTCGGTCTAACAGCAAATTGTCAGGCTTGATATCCCTGAAAATGTATAGCAAAGATGGAGTGGCAAATTTGCTACCGAATGCCATGCAATTTTTATTATCAATGAATTACCTATGAATATAATTGTGCTTGTGTATGGATTCAATTGCTAGAATTGTCTCCGCAACATAAAATCTAGATTCATCATCTGTAAGTGTATCCTTGCGCATTAGTAGAGTCATCATGTCACCACCAGGAAGGTATTCCATAACAAGGTATAGAAACTCTTCGTCTTGAAATGAGCAATAAAGCTTAACAATGTAGGCACTGTCAACCTCTGCAAGAAGATTCCTTTCAGCTCTCACATGCTCAACCTGAAAAGAACACATTAGAAAACCAAAAGTTTGCTGGACAAGCTGATTTAATTACTTAAACACACATGAATTACCTGGCCCCTTCGTAACATTTCAGACTTCTTAAGCTTTTTCATTGCATATACATTGGATGTAGCTTTCTCTCTACAGAGCCTCACCTGAAGAATAAAAATGTAAACTGGAGGCAAGCTGCAGGAGAAACAGAGAACATATATATTGCCTCTAAAAATAGATTTCTTTTCTCCATGTATAATAAAAGGTTTCTCAAGGTACTGCAGAAACTGATGTTTATTACGCATGACACAACAGTCAACTATATCTGCATCGAATATAGGGAGTAGAAACAGTGCCCTTCTTACCTCCCCAAATGCACCTCTGCCAATAATGGTAAGCAATTCAAAATCATCAACACCCATTTTGTGCCTCCTTGAGCGCATGATTTCTCTCTCCCTATTTTCGAAGTCCTTCAGAATATTGTTTTGCTCCTCTTCAGATACATCAGGATCTGCAAGCTTACTCTCCAGCATCCGACGCCTATAATATAATTTGGCATAATATCTTTACCACCAAATAAGAATGGGTGTTCGATGATATCTAAACTACGCCAGAAATGTATATCCAAAACTAATATATAGCATCTTACTGAAACATACAAAAAGATTGAAATTGGAGAGTTATCAAATATCAATCACAAAAAATGGCAATAAGAGAACTGTGAATAGCCTCTTATGATGCTGTAATGCAATAGTTAAGCGCTTTATGCTACATATTTTTATTTATGCATACCATCTTCCCTTAGAGAACACTTCCGAAAATGACAGAATATTAATACAGTTCATTAATAAAATTCAAGGATTGCACATGCATTGTGTTTAACAATTTAAGGCAGAGAATAACACTGAATGCTTCCCAGTCAAGCCCCAAGAAGATTTATAGTAAGTTCAATCCAACACCTATATTTCATTATTCAGAAACCTAAGAAGATAGGTTGTATAGTCATGTGATAGTTCCATATGAAATGGTACACATCTATACTATCTATATAGTTGATGCCCACTAACTCATAAATCTCAACATGTAAGTGTGTCACATCATCACCCACTAGCAATTATTATCTAGAGTATTTTCAATCACATGCAAGTGTACCACATTATCATCCACTAGCAATTATTATCTAGAGTATTTTAAATATCATGCAAACATGACATATCATTAACAATTTTGTTGTATTTTTAGAACTCAATATACAAGCAATGTTAAATCATTATCTCCAGATCATTTTTCACATTATTTAAACATATACATCTATCATTTCTATAATGTATAACATGCATTCATCCACATATCCCACAGCAAAGTGCGGGGTATAAACTAGTTTAACAGAGTGCATGGCTACAAGCAGTCCAGAGATATAATATGGGTACTAAAAGCAATTTAAAGAAGCTGTTGGCTATATAGTTCAAGTTTACATTTCTAGTATTGAGCCTTACCCTTGTTCTTGCCAAAACTTTGGTACTTTTAGGTTTTATTAATAAGCATAGTTTCTTCCTACCCTATTTGGTTGGTGTATGCCACATTACAAAAGAAGGCTTGCAGTTTGTCAACCTTTGCAAATAGATGAGATACAAATAGTCCTACATATGCCGTTTTCTCAAAAGAGATAAAATAACAACAAAGAATGAAGACTAGCAGTTAAGTATATTAACAAAATGCAAGTCCAAGCTGTAAATTATTACAATTGAGATATCATTATGAAAGAACACTCAGGCGAAACTTCGTTGTGGAGCAGGTCAATCAGCAAAGCAGTAGCACATACATCGTATGGTTATATATCCAGGCCACGGAAGTAAAAAAAATTGGAGATAATGGACCCCTTTATTACCTCCTTCCAAGTTACTCCATCCGTCTCAAAAGAAAAACCCAGCCTAGGATAGGATGTGATCTATCCTAGGACAACGAATCCGGACAAGCGCTTATCCAGATTCGTTGTCAATAGATTCTATCCTATCCTAGGTTGGGTTTTTTTTTGAGTCGGAGGGAATATTCTAGTCCAAGTGGCACATCTCCTTACCTCATTTAACATCATGCCAAAAATAGAATCATTTTACCCTCCACAATCCTACATATTCCCATTACTGTATTGCCATCCACCCAATATACTCCTGGTTTATTTTAGCGTTATTAACACGTAACTAATGCGCCGTCATAAAATTGCAAGTATTCTACTATAGTGACCACCTAACAAGTAACTCGGAACCCAGATCATAATAATAATTGTTTAATAAAAGAGCACAGCAAATCGACCTTGAGGAGCTCCAGTTCGAAGATCACCCTACGAATTCCAACCCAGGAACAACGCGCACGCGCATTTCCGAACAATAGCAATCCCCGATCGATTAGCCGATCTATAACAGGCTGAGTGAGCGAGCGGGGGGACTGACCTCTCCTTGCGCTCCTCGAGCGACCTCATCTGGTCCTTGTAGTGGTTCTCGATGAACTGCTTGGCGGCCGCCACCTTGGTGGCGGTGGTGCTCGAGATCGCCTCCTCCCCATCCTCGGCCATCGCCGCCGCTCCGTCCTTCCTCGCGGCGGTGGGCGACGCCGGCTTGCCCCTGTCCTTGTCCCGCGGCTGAAGCTTCTGGAGCCAGCTACGGGCGGAGTCCATGGGGCGGGGTGGTGTGGATCGGATCAGGGGCGGGCCGCCATTGCAGCACCAGCTCGCTCCGCTCCAGTGTGCTCCGCGCCGCGCGGGATCTCCGGATCTGGGGGTGGTGGGGGTGGCAGGCAGCGCAGCCGTCGCGAGGTTAAGGTAGGCAAGGCTTCGACTCGAGAAGAGAAGCACGAGCTCCGCGCGATTCGAACGGATAATTTTTTTGGTCAAGTGGGCGCCCGCTTCGATTCCGATTCGATTCGATTCGATCAGGGAGGTGGTGGACTGGTGGTGGGGGGAGGAGGAGGAGGAGGAGGCGGCGCGGCCAGCAACGACGCCCCGCCCCGCACTGGCGCGCTCGGGAGTCGGGACGCCGGCCGAGGAAGATTTGGTTAGCTTTTTCTCTTCTTTTTTTTTTCATCTGTGTGTGACTCATCTTTTCACTTATGCTTTTGCTTATCAGCCAAAATTTAAATTTTCAACCTTAAATTTAAAACCGATTTTAAGTTTTTTCATCGAAATTTATCTTTCTGTCTTTGCTTTTAGGTCGCTAAAAACATGTATATAAAAATTTTATTCATAAATTACTTCTCGTTTGCGAATATGTCATTTGGCTTATTCCACGAATAACCCAAACAATGGAGTTGTCTTAATTAGGTCTATACTTGTTTGTACTCTCAGCCTATGATCTTTTGGAGGGATTCCCTCCCCTTCGCACGGAAAACGGAACGATAGATTAACACGTGACTAATTAATTATTAGCTAAAAAAACTTGAAAAATGGATTCATATGATTTTCTAAAGCAACTTTCATATATAAAATTTTTCCAAAACGCGTACCGTTTAGCAATTTAAGAAGTGTGCATGTGGAAAACGAGGGTGATGAGTTGAGAACTCAATGGTGCCACTAACATGTGTATTTTATATGTATTCGACAAAATAGCCCTCATTTCTACCTCACTCTTCCCTCATTCTCCCCTTTCTCTTGGCTGCATGCTCCATCCGAATCTCACTACCGGCAGTGCCTACTCACTGCTCCCCGACTTTAACCCGTCCGCTCCGCTGTGGGAGCTCGGGACGTCGGGCAGCTCCACCTGGGGCTCCTCACGAAAGTTGTCCTCACTGTGTTGGGTGCCAAGGTGGCCATCGGTGGCGAGGTGGATCACCGGGCAACTACTCGGAGGCGGTGAAGACACGTCAAGCAGCTGCGAGTGCGATGAGGGAGGCTGTTAGGGAGGTGCACGAGCTTGTCAAAGAGGAGAAACGCCCGTTCTTTCCTCGGTCCTTGCTGCTTTGGCATCATCATCGCCCAAGACTCCTCGCGGCGAGGAGAGACGGATGGATCTAGGCTGAAGAGCAGAGGCGAGCAGATCTAGGACGTCGGTGTTGCCTTCTGCTAGGGGTGGGCAGAAAAAGACCGAACCGAAAAGACCGAGACCGAGAAATTCGGTCATCAATTCGGTCCTATGTAGTGAAAGACCGAATTTTGTTCGGTCAATTCGGTTAGTCTCCTCGGGTAACCGAATAGACCGAAAAGACCGAAATATCAAAAAATGTCTAAATATAACCTACAATCCACTATGTTTAATAGGATTAAACTCTAATTTTCACATCCTACTTTTTCTAGGCATGCAACCTAATAAGAGACTTTTACTCATAAGTGCTTACGAATTTTTTTTGTGATTTTTGTGTTGAAAATTTCCATTATTTCTTTGCATATATGAAATGTTGTTGAATTTCGGTTAGGACCGAGTCCAAGACCGAAAAGACCGAGACCGAATTTGTCGGTCCTAACATTTTTCGCTCCTAACATTTTTCGCTGAAATTCGGTGTTCACTTTTCAAAGATCGAAAAGACTGAAAGACCGAAGATCGAGACCAAAATTTTCGGTTAGACTGAATGCCCACTCCTACCTTCTGCATCACACACTGGCTTCCCTCTGCCCCGTCAATGCCTTGCCCAGCCGTAGAGAGGGATTGGGGGAGGAAGGAGAGATGTCAGCGACAGTGATGATCGAGGGCCCCACGCTGACTTCTTCGTTGGTGTAGAGGGAGACACAAATGTCCTAGCCTAAGAAGAGCTAGAGAGGGAAGAGGCGGCGACTGCGGTGGCCCCCTTTGGGTCATGCCTGCCACCGCCGATGCCGGGAAAAGATGGGAGAAAGGGGAAGAAGGAAGAAGGGGAAAAGGGTAATTTGGTCTATTTTTTTTAAATACATCTAGGGGTAAGCAGTGGTATATCTTTAAACATGTGTAAAACTATAATGGCATGATTCCAATTAAATAAATAATAATGGCATATTTTAAAATTAGTACTTTTTTTAATGGTATGGATATAATTAACCTTAATAAATATTGCGGTGTAACTTTGTCAGATGTATCAGGTAGGGCCCTGTTCGATCTCCCAACCTAGAGATAGATTTTTGTTGCACGTAAAACAACAAACATCATTAGCATATGATTAATTAAGTATTAACTATTATAAATTTGATATATGGATTTATTTGCTTTTTTAACAACTTCTATATAGAAACTTTTTTTTTAAAAAAATATCATTTAGCAGTTTAAAAAGTATGCTAATAGAAAACGTGGAAGTTGAAGGTTGGAGTTGAAGAATACAACACGGCCTAAGTGAAAAGGGAAAAAAAATCCGCCTCGTCCAATATTATCAGTTGTAGGTACTTTAGTAGGGGAGTTTTAACCTTTTTTATTTCAGCGAAGTTGTAGGTAAGTTTTTTTTTTCCCAATGATACACGTTCGTTATAGGCGAGTGAAGAAAAAAAAGAAAGAGGTGATTACATTTTTTATCATACTATTACTATATTCATCTCAAAATATCTCAAAATATAGCTATAACTTATCTAAAATAAAGTTATTTCTACACCTACCATCTACACTTAACCAATCACAACTATTTTCCATTTGCTTTTTTCATCTACTTTCTCTTTCCAACTAATCACGATATTCTTTCAGTCATTTCTATCTAACTACATCCGTTCCAAAGTATAACTATGACTTAAAAATAAAATTATTTCTACACCTGCCACCTCCTCTCAACCAATACAATCATTTTCCATTTACTTTTTTCATCTACTTTCTCTTTCAACCAATCATAATATTTCTTCAGTTTTTTCTAACTCTTTCCTTAATACATGTATAAACCTTAAAAATACTAATATTTTGGAACAGAGAAAGTGACATCTAGCTCTATGGAGTTGACCTAGACAAGCTACTAAATTTACTCAAGGGTCTAACAATGAAAACTTAAAATTATGTTTCTTCCCGTTCCCTCTAAAATCTAAGAGCCTTATGCTTTGGGCATACCAATCTGATGAGCAAAACTGCAAAACTCTTGTCAATTTGCTTCAGAGTTCAGCACATCCAGCAACATGTACACAGTACCAGATACAGAAAACTTTTACTCGTTGCGGTGCTAGGTTCTGAAACAGATTGTGGCATTGGATTACAATCTGAAGCGTACCATATCTCACAAGTTATCTCAAATTTAATGGTTTAAATTACTAATTTTCCAAAGTTAATTTATTCAAGGCACCAAATATTCGTTCCAAAGTGGTAAATAAATTCTATACATATGAACCAATTCCACGAAGGGATCGAGGATTTTGAAGGAACTCAGATTAGTGACTACTAAAGCTAGTGCAACAACACATATTATTGGTACTCATTTTTTTTTCTCCGTAGAACAATCATAACCACAACAGAAATGGTAGAACGCATCATATCATTTTCCTTAAAATACAACAATCTGAACCAAGACCCATAACCGGCATGTAGCCTAGTGGTTACAATGACCTGAGTAGTACCTTAAGGTCCTGAGTTTAAATCTCCATAGGAGCGAATTTCAAATTGGGTTATTTAAGGGCTAAGTTCCCTATTCGATAGGCTAAGTTCCTACTTTAAAAAGGCTGCATATATCCGATTAAATATAGAGCACATAAAATATACCTCAAGAACCAAGACCCACCAAAATTTGCAAAATACACCCTCCAGACAATCTATGCCCCCTCAGCACCAAAATTTGCAAAATATACCGCCCGGACAATCTATGCCCCCTCAATGTCAACACAACCATCGCTATCTCATCATTTAGCTAAAACAACACCAAGAAGGTAAATATACCGCCCGGACAATCTATGCCCCCTCAATGTCAACACAACCATCGCTATCTCATCATTTAGCTAAAACAACACCAAGAAGGCAAATATACCGCCGGACAATCTATGCCCCCCTCAGTGTCAACTCAACCATCACTGCCAGGTCGTTGTCTCTACTACCTCCATTGAGCTGTCGTAGCTTATTTCGCCAAAAGTTTGCATTGCTATGCCATTGCCACACTGCGAGCAAACCATCACGCTACCCCACCGGCATTGCTATAGAACCTCACCTCCGCTAAGCTGCCGAAACTTATCTCACCGGAAAACCACTACTGCCACGTCTTCCTCGCTGCGAACCAGAACCTCCGTCGAGCCTCCTTAGCTTATCATCGTCGACCACAAACTCCACCATGATGCCATCAATGACTGTCTTGTCGCAGCCACGCCACCTTCACCGCAGACCTCCACCATTGCCCTTGGCACTGCTCGCTACGCTCGACTTTGCTCCTAGCGTGACACCGAGCTGGCCTGCCAACACTACCACTCGCCAACTCTGCCAACACCACCGCCATCGCCACCAAGACCTATGGCATCGTCGCTACACAAAATGCCACTATTGCACTGTAACGCCCCGATTTTTGTTCGGGATTTAAAAATCATTAAATATGCATTTTTAAAAATCTCTATCTCTTCTCTACTATTATAAAAGTTTAAGATGTTTTTGCAGTTTGGTAAGTCGTCTGTATCCGAGACTAATTGTCATCCGCTATCTCTGATTCAAAAACTACTGACGTGATCCGAGGGAAGCAATGACGCGTCCACATCCGATTCCCTTGTACATCGCCATCGAATCCAAATGCTCCCGTTGCCTTTTTTTTAAGCGTTCACATGCGTTTCCCTTTCGCTTCATCCGAAGCACCCACTCCGATTCAGTTTTACTATTGCCACGAGCCCACGATCAAGCGAGATGGACTTGTCTCTGTACTCCGTAGAGATTGGAAGAGATGTGCGCCTGGTTAGATTGGAAGGAAATACCGATGGAGATGGCCTGCATGTGCATGGCTGCATCGTTGCTTTTTTGGCCTAATCAAGTATAATTAAGTAGATCCTAACGAGTAAATATATCTGTTGACCTCCTATTATTGCGAAAAGAAATAAAAACTGCAAATATATCTGATCACCTCCTATTATCGTGAAAAGAAATAAAAACTGAAAATTATTAACGGGAGACAATAGCGTGGCATACCTCTATCTCTACTATTATAAAAATTAAATATGCTTTTATTAGTACTTTGGTACGTTATTTTTGTTTCAGTTGGGTTTTAAGTTCATTGCTTCTGGAAATACAAAACTAATCGTATAAGGAATCTCTTTAAAAAACATGGATGCTAACTTGAGATAAAAGTCAAACTCCTAATTGCAGCTCATGATTTTCTAAAAATAAAAATCCAAGCGAATCCACACAATGAATTCATCCTAACTCAACCATATAACAATAATAAGATTAAAATAGTTTTAACCCGTTGCAACGCACGGGCATTGTTTCTAGTTATGTTAAAAGTTAAGTAAAATAATGAGGGAATTAAAAATTTCCTTTAAAAATCATGGCCATGAATATTTTGTAATGTTCTTTATGCCCTAAAATACTCTTTAAAATTTCTCGCGAATTTTTGGAGCTCAAGAAGTAATTTTAATATCACAAAGATCATTTAATCAATTAAATAAAAAGAAAAACAAATTTAATTCTCCTTCGTTCCCCTTGGGCCATTTTCGGTCCAAGCCCTCCTCCCTCTTCCCGGCCAGGCCGCTCGCCTACTTCTCTCGGGCTGGCCCAGCTCGCTTCCCGCCACCTCCAAGTTTGTTCCCCCTCCCTCAAACCGGCCTCCCCTCTCCTCAGGCCGACAAGTGGGTCCCCAACCCCCAGCCAACTCGAGCCAGAGCAGCCGCCCGCCATGGCCGCCCACTCCACTGCAAAATCCGCCACCTCCTGTCCCTCGCGCTCGCGTCTAACCGTCGGGATGTGGTCGCCGCCCACTCCTCCACCATTCCCCCCACTTTCCCCCAAAAAAATGGCGCCGGATTGACCCGCCACGAGCCCACGTCGCCACCCCATGTCGCCGGTCGTTGCCGCCCAAAATTCGTCCCATCCCGGCCGTATCAAAGCTCCCCGAGCCTATATAAAGCACCCTCGTGCCCTTCTCATCTGTTTCCCCATTTTCCCGAGCTCTCCCGTGCCCGGAAACCACCCCGCTACCGTCGCACCTCCCTCCGCCGCCCGCCGGCGCGTTCCAACCGCCTGTCACCGCCGCCCTAACCCTCGCCGCATTGTGACGCCACCACCACCGGCTTCACCGCCGGAGGGCAAGACCGGCCACCACTTCCCCTCCCCAAACCGCCGCTGAAACCCCGCCGCCACCACCAACCCGAGCCACCGCCGCCTCCCGCCGGCGAGCGTCGCCTCGCCCGGCCATGTCGCCGCCACCCACAGCGCCGCCACGCCCCACCGCACCCCGTCCACTGCTCCTCTTCCCCAATCCATTTCCGAAACGCCGCCACCACGTTCACCATCTCTCTCCGCCACCATCGCCAACTACAGCCGCACCGCGCCACCTCTCCGGCCGACCCCGCACTGCGTCGTCGCCTCCCTTGGTTCTGCAAGGACGAGGAGACCCTCGGCCACCGCCCAGCTCGCGTCCCAACCACTGGAATCCATTTCCCCTCGCGCACCGGTGAGCTACCCCTTTTCCAATCCCCTCCGGTCGGTGGTTCACGCTGCCTTGAGCCACCCCATCCTCCCCTAACCCCTCCTCATCATTCTACAGGTCGAGGAGGTGCTCGGCCGCCCTTCCTCACCTGCCGGTCGTCGTCGGTGCTTCGCTCGCGCTGTTTTTCCGCGGGGCGCCGCTGCCTCTCCTCGTCGTCGGCCGCCTTCCCGCGTCGCCTCCTCGCTGCTTCGGCGCTCGGTGAGCCACCTCCCTCCTGCTCCTCTCTTTTTTCCCCTCCTCCGTCCCATGTGTGCCCGCGTGGCCAGCCTACTGTTGGTCGCCGTGGACCACCCCGTGGTCCCGGTCCACGGTGCACCGTCCCTCCCCTTTTGGCTGATGCGTGGGCCCGCCTTTGGTGGACTCGGTCCACACCCGCCCCTCGCTGACGCAATAATCCTTGATTTTTCCTTTGTAAAAATAAATAATAATTGCGCAATAAATTGGTATTGATTCTAGAAATTTATTTAAATGGCTCAAAACTTCTAAAATTCATATCTAATTCATACGAACTCCAAATTGAGCCATTCAAGTTGCAAAATTCATCTAAAACCAAGATCTACATGTTTGTTTACTTTTCTTGTACTGTTTACTTGGTATTTATTAGAGTTTTTTCTCGTTTTGCGTGCTAGTGAGTATATTGCGCCGTTTCAGAAGTCCGCGGTCGTGAGGAAAAGAGTTCAGAAGATCGAAGTGAAGAAGAAGGGCAAGTCACACATTCCCCTTGAGCATGTTGATTATTAGATACCATTAATTGGAGTAATATTTAGTAATGTAAGCACGGTGCTTAGATTATTAGATACCATTAATTGGGGTAATATACAGTGGATCAGAGGCCGGCCGCTGATGGTGAAGGATTAGTGCAGGTGTCCTCTACATGTGTATATTATCCTAAGTGCAATTTCCTGGGGAGGGTACTCCTCCGTATTTAGCCCCGGTTGGATGGCCATGACAGGTTGTCGTAAGGAACTCGGCAACCAGGGGCGGTCTCTCGAAACACTAGGAGGACACTGGGTACGAGGTATTGGTTGCATGATTGTATACTAGTAAGTATAGATTAAAGATGTATATATACTAGAAGTACAGGAATGATACTTTTATTATTCTTTCTCCATTTAGCTTAGACTATATTTTAGTGAGAGTAGTTCTTAGTTCTTTCTTCTGTGTGTCACCCTACCCTTTGAACTAAATTAACCCCTGCATAGACTTGATGTATATAAGTAATATATGAATTGTTAGCATAGTAATCTCTTATCATATCTTCCCTTGGGATAAAATAAATACGATACCTTGGAATACTCCCGGGTGAAATGCTACAATGGTATATCCGTATGCTTGCGGATCATATCTGTAACTATAATATACCAGGATTATTTCTAGTGCTATTGCTGGGAATTATATTTCCGGCAGTGTCGCTAAGAAATACCAACAGTCATCGGCCTAAAACCATTATCGGCTTCAGAGTTCTGGAATTGGCCAATGAGAATTATCAAGTTGCCAATAGTCAGATTCTTGCTATATTCAGTTAAGGAAATTAATCTATTAACAGAAGCTTATCCATAAGTGACCGAGTTCAAGGAGGAAGAGACATGGCAAGTTATCTATTAATTAGGTAGTATTTGTTAGTTTCCTTTTATCTTTAGGAAAGTGTGTTTAGTGTCCCATAAGGACTTTATGTTTTCCTTTTATCTTTAGAAAAGTTTCTTTCTTGTCCAATAAGGACTCGTATCTACCTATGGGTATAAATATGTACACCCGGGGTCATTGTAAACTATCTCCACGATCAATACAAATTCGACGCGTCGCCACCCTTTTTACTTTTCTACTTTTTTTGACAAGTTTATACTTGTCATGGCTATTTGCATCGCCGGGGCCAAGGCTTCGACACTCCGATCTTGTCAATGTAAACACATATCTATCATATATCTTAGTTAATCTATTTTGGTAGTTCAATTTACTTGTATCGGCTGGGATTCTCTTTAGGGTTTATGCTGGTATCGGCTGAATTGCTTTACCAAATTAGATTAGCTAAGGTATCCACTACCCTGAAAATAAGTCAAAGGCTTGATTATCTAGACATTATGTTTCTTTTCATACTTTGCGCTGCATCAGCCCTAGTCGTGCTTAGAAGTTAGAACCATAACCTCTAGCCTGCTTTTTGATTGCCAATAAGGGTTTCATCAGGGTTTTAGCCGATGAGTTATCTGGATGTTGCATTGGCTTATAAGGATTACATACAAGTTGGATTTAGCCGATCGCAACCAAAGTTTCACTGTTTATCTAATCTTGTGGATTCAATAACATCGAACCTCCAGCTGATGTATGCTTTAACCTTCGGATCAGTGCTTATTCTATCATATTGTTAGCCGATTGGTTTTACTGGATTATATGGTTGTTTTGTTATATTACCATCAGCTAATTGTCTTTATATCATTGTTTATATCAAGTGTCAGATTCTACATCAAATATATAGCCGATAACTCAAAACCCTATCGGCATCGGCTGGAATTACTCCATTGTCTTGTCAGCCGATCGGCTCTTTGATCTGTTATTTGTATATCTTGTCAGTTGCCGGATCAAACTGACTGGCACGCCCGCATCTCATCAACTTTTGGACCTGCACTGGAGTTAAGCAGATCTCCTAGGCCATTGTGTTCGTCGACTTAGTTTGCGCCAACACAGACCCGACACCATCGGCCGAGCGCGGATTTCTCGTCAACAGATGCGCACTTATACAGATCCAATCTACTCACAACTGGACTAGGGTATTACCTCGCTTTGAGGGTTTCAACCAATATAAACATCTATGTCACCATCTCTCCTAGATCTAGTGCACCCATAAATAATATTGCCGATATTAAAAACCGACAGTTAGCACGCTAGGTGGGGTCGCTCGATCATTTTTCTTGAGGAGATGGAAACTCACGGAGTCACCTTCGCGGCGACCGCCACATTCCCTGCCACCACCCTCAGACAGCCGACGAACAGCAGTTGGCCCCTCAGGAACCAGCTCTGTTGCCAGTTGCACAAGATCTTTGCCCTTACACCGGGAAGGGAAAAACAGCTCCAGGGTGGGCTCCACTGACTTCACCAGCTCCTCATGAAGACCCTTGGCGGCGTCCAATTCCCGCTGGAAGTGCTCATAATGTGTCTGAGTATTTTTCGCACGCAGCTCAACATCCGCCTAGAGATTGCGCTGTGTGGTGTCCTTCTTCACCAACTCATCCGACAGGGTCGCCTTCTCGGCAGAGATTGACTCGGACGCGGCTAACGATGGTGTCAAGATGACAGACATCAACAGCAGCAGAACACGAGAATAGCCAGAAGCAACATTTACAAGACTCACCATCCAGCTTGGCCTGAAAATCGTGCGCTCCTTCCTGGGCCTCCTGCAACTACGTCTCCAGCTCAATGATCAGAGCTCGCCCGCTAGCTGCCTTAGGCTGGTCCACCAGCTTCTTCCACTCGGTCGCTTCACGTGCGCATCTCCCCTGTTCATCCACAACAGCAGATAGGCACACATCATCACAAAGACTAACACGAAGACCAAATCACTTGGCCAGAGCATCTTACCATCCCTCCTCAGCTGGGAAATTTGGACCCTCTTAACGCCAAAATTTGGTAAGTCCCGAAGTTATCATCAGCCTATAGTAAGTATCAGCTTCAGAGTCATGGAATCGGCCGATGGACACCATCAGTTGTCAGTAGTCGAATTCTTCATGGGTTCGGTTAAGGAAATTTATCAATTAAAAGAAGTTTATCCAAAAGAGACCGAGTTCAAGTAGGATGTGGCATGGTAGTTTATCTATTAATTAGGAAGAGTTTGTTAGTTTCCTTTTATCTTTAGGAACGTGTGTTTAGCGTTCGATAAGGACTTTATGTTTTCCTTTTATCTTTAGAAAAGTTTATTTTTTTGTCTAATAAGGACTAGTATCTACCCATGGGTATAAATGTGTACACCCGGGGTCATTGTAATTTTTGTCTCGATCGATACAACTTTGGCACATCGCCACCTTTTACCTTTCTACTTTTTTGACGAGTTCTTGCTTCGAGTAAGGGCATCGGCTTCGTTCTTCTAACAAGAGGTATGACTTGTCTCAGCGGTTTGCGTTGGTGGATTAGGGCGTCGCTTTAGATGTTCTAATCTATCTTCTACAGCCGCTGGTTATCATATATCTTAGTTAATCTAGCTTAGCATCTTAATTTGATCATATCGATTGAGATCCTTTTTAGGGTTTATGCCGATATCGGCTAAATCATCTTGCAAGATTAGATTAACTAATGTATTCACCACCCTGAAAATCAGTCAAAGGCTTGATTGTTTGGATATTATGTTTCTTTTCATACTTAGTGTTGCATCAGTTAAGTTTGATCTACTAAGTCGTGCTTAGAACCATAATCTCTAGCCTGCTTCTTGATTGCCAAGAAGGGTTTCATCGGAGTTTTAGCCGTTGGGTTATCTGGATGTTGCATCGGCTTATAAGGATTATGTACAAGTTGGTTTTAGCTGATTACAACAGAGGTTTTATTGATTATCTAATCATTTAGATTTTATGACGTCGGACCTCCAACCGATATATGCTGTAACCATTAGATCAACACTCATTTTGTCATATCATTATTAGCCGATTGATTTCTACTAGATTATATTGTTGTTTTATTATATTATTATCAGCCGATTGTCTTTATATCATTATCTACATTGGACATATAGCCGATTGCTCATAACCCTATCGACGTCGACTGATATCGGCATCGGCTAGAATTCCTCCATCGGCTTGTCAGCCAATCGACTCTTTGGTGATCAACACATTTATTTATCTTGTTAGTTGTAGGATCGAACTGACTGGCACGCCCGCACCTCATCAATATTTTGGACTTACACTAAAGGTAAGCAGATCTCCCAGGCCTTTGTGTTCGTTGACTTAGGTCGCGTCTACATAGATCTGGCACCATCGGCTGAGCGCGGATTTTTCGTCAGGAGACCCATAGCTCCTTCTCCAGATGTGCCACTCCTTCGCCTCCTTCTGCTGCTGCTGGAGCTCGACCCGCTGCACTCAATCTCCGTCACGTTGTCGAAGATGCTCTGTAGAGCCTCTCTCTTGGCACTAGAGCGATCGACAATCTTCTGCAAGAATCAACGCAATAATCAAGTCAACTCCATGCCACAACTCCTACTGTCATTCCAAAATAAAGTCAGGGGCTATTCGGCTCAAAAACAAGATAAGTTCAACTCTCTACTCCACTTCAGGGCACAATGACTACCTACATCCTGTCCTGAAGTCTGGGGCTAGAGGATACAACTATTAACCTACATTTTCTCTAGGAGAAACCAGCCCCGCCTTGTACATGGCCATCGAGTCGGCCTTGTCGGCGGCATCGTCAAACCCAACCTTCATGGCCTCCTCCTTGCCACCCTGGAACCATGCGGCTTGAGGGGGAAGGACATAATGGGTCGACGGCAGCGCACACTATCGACAGGGGATTTCTTCCACAATCTCCTCCTCCTCACCGGATGGCTCTTTCCCGGGTCGGTGGTGTGGGGACGTCTGGGAGCTTGGTGGAGAAGCGCATGGAAGAGAAGTCCACAGAGGAGAAGCTCGAGGCAGAGAATGGCGGGACGGAGATCCTGCAACTAACAAAATAAATAAATGTGTTGATCCTGCAACATATTTATTTATCAAATTCGTGGACCTACGTGAAACCTGCTTATAAGTTTATAAAGGCCGCCAGTGTAATTTACTCTTGATTTTATTGAAAGAAATAGAGTAAATTTCACAAAACTACACGTTTTGTGGTTCAAGTTGTAGAAAACCACACACACTTTGACACTTGGCACTTAAGTACACATATTTTAGGCCCTGTTTGTTTCAGCTTAAGATTATTGTAATCTAGATTATTAAATCAGATTACTCTAAGCTGGATTATAATAAGCTAACAAAAAATAAGCTACGTGTTGTTTGTTTCTCTGGATTATTAGAGGCATCTAAGGGTAGTAGATCTTTAGCCACTCAATAATCTGGAAAAAGCTCCTCTAGAGGAGATTATTGAATTATACTAATCTAGCTTATATATTATAATAATCTAGTATAATAATCTATTTGTTTGTTTCAGCTTACTCTTAATAATCCAGATTATAATAATTCTAAGCTAAATCAAACATGGCCTTAGTTGTGTGGTTTCATAAAACCACACTATCGATGAATGGATTCACCCACGGGATAACATGGCTGTTTCACCTAGGACGAGGACATGACATCCTATTACCAGCCATCGCACGAAAAATTAATAGGATGCCACGTCCTCAACCTAGATAGAACAACCACGTCATCTCACGGGTGAATCCATTCATCGATGGTGTGGTTTTGTGAAACTAAACTACCAAAATACTTAAGTGCCAAATATCAAAATGTGTGTGGTTTTCTGGATTTTGAACCATATTGTGAAATTTACTCAAAGAAATAAGGGAAGAGAACCTATCCATCAGATTAATTTGAACGGTGGAGATGAAGTAAAGTCTAGCCCAAAGGTAGAGGATGTGTGTCCCAACGGCGCACCCTAACCGCCGCCCCCTCTCGATTCGCCGTCGCTCGTCCAGATCGGCCGCCGAGAGCGAGGGCCTCGCCTCGCCTCGCTGCCGCCCCCCTCGATTCGTCGTCGCCTCGCCACCCATCGTTCCTCCCCGCGCCCACGCCAGAAACAGCGCCTCACCGTCGCCGCCCGCCTCCCGCACTCCGTCATCCCCCCCCCTTCCCCCCCCCCCCCCCCCCCCGCCGCGGTGATTCATTGCCGCCCCCATCTTTCCCCTCTTATCTGATTCATCGCCGCCCCCATCGTGGTGGATCACCACCACCGACGGTAGGTAAGCTCCATCCCTTTTGTTCTATCCAAAACTGACAAACCAAGGTGCATTTTCATCATGTTTGCAAACCGAAAATTCTCCCTATAATGAAATGTCTGCAGTTGCATAAACAGTTTCACAGGATTGTTCCGTTCTGCATATCTTTTTTCAAGAGAGTATACAATTTCAGCATTTTTTGTGATATTCATCATTACAATTTGCTTTCAAAAAGTCATGGTTTATATGACTGCATCAAATAAAACTCGAAACTTCAGGGAGGTGGCATTTCTGTAAAAAAAAAAGATATAGAATGGAAATTTTTGTACTTTTGGTCCTCTTATTTTTTATATCCTGTCAAAATATCAACCAAGATGATGAACCCATTGGACCGTCAGAGTACCATGTGGCTCCGGGAAAATGCATGGGAACTGGTCAGAGTACCATGTGGCTGTGAACACTCTGATTTATAGGGTTTATGAGAACACTCACTTAGCTGAATATTGATTCTGAACTTTATCTTATTATCTTCCTCAGATAATGTATTTCATGAGGAATGGTTAAAATAAATTAACAGGCAAATTGCTGTACTCCTATTAAGGCCACTGTGTGAGGGAGGACGCTGCATCTGCTGAGGTCCTGGTACCGTCTCTCCGTCTCTATCTCGTTGCCACCTTCGCCTCACCACGGGTAGAAAGGTATTCATTGACAATATTTTTCTTAGATTTCTCTACTCTGGCTGTTTCACTTGGACAGTGACCTTGCTGCTAACCATGTGAGTAAATCAAATAATTAATCTACCCTATAATTCTGTCACCCCACCATCAGGTCACTGTCGATCCATAACGCCGTGCAGTCTTCGTGCCAACAACGAGAATCACCCCTGCCGCTCCGCCTGCCTGATCTCCACCGCCAGACACCGTTGCCCGTCTCCACTCCTCGTCGCCCGCCTCGGTTGTCTCCTCCCATCCTCCGCGCCGCCCCCGATCTCCACCGCTAGGACACCGTCGCCTGCCTTGTCGACCAACTCACGGATCTCTGATTCGCACAAAGGTACATACATCCCTCCTCGCCCTTCTCTTTCTCCCCCATTCTATTGTTCATCAATGTTATACAAATCGGTTCAAGCACATAAACTTGCACAGTTCTGATGGTCCTTTAAACAAAACATCTCTTCACATGATATTATAATTGAAGCATATAAACTTGCACAGTTCTAATGGTCCTTTAAACAAAAAAAATCTCTTGACATGATTTTATAATTAAACAGGATTTTATAAGTTTGAATGTATACGCTCACTGAAATTTAAAGAGGTTTAGGTTTCTTGGATACACATGCTGTTAAGAAGTATGGCTTTATACATTCTATGTTAGTGGTATATTATGTGGTAGTATGGCAGAAGATTTCATTTTTTTAGATAACGATAACTAAAGTATTCATGCTTTTGTCTGATAGTCATTTTAAAAAACTCTACTGTTCATGATAAAAATCGGATCAAGCATATAAGCATGCTATTGTCTGATTTTTTTTAAAAAAAATCTCTTGACTTTATTTTATAATTGAACAGTATTTTATAATTTTGAATGTACACGCTCACTGAAATTTAAAGAAGTTTCAGTTTCTTTGATACACATGCTGTTAAGAAGTATGACTTTCGATGTACGCTCTGATTGATATTTCTCCAATATCTTACCTATATCCTGCAGTAAAGCGCGTGACATCATCTGGTACGAACCAAACAACCCCTGCACGCACGCCCGCGGCGCATCTCCTCCCGAGCCCCGGCAACAAGCTCGCCACCGCAGCGCATCAGGGCACCGGGCACAGAGCATCTCTTGCTGCTCAGCACCTCCGGCCGCCACCTCCCGAAGCGGCTGGTGGAGGTCGAGTGCGGGGATCCAGGCCTGAGGAGCTGCTCCACTGCTGGCGGTCGTCGGCCGGCTGACGCGCCGATCCATCCGGGGCCATCGGTCCGTGACCATCCCGAATTGTGGTATCTGGCGGCACCAGCGCCATCACCGCCCCCAATGGCAGCTGCGAAGCTCACCGCCTCTGCTGTGTTTAGGAGCAACCAGGAGCTCACGTCGCTGGCGCGCTCGGGCCAGCTGGCCGCCGCGCGCCGCCTGTTCGAGGAGATGCCCCGCCGCAACGTGGTCTCCTACAACGCGATGGTCTCCGCGCTGGCCCACCACGGCCGCCTCGCCGAGGCGCGCAGGCTGTTCGACGAGATGCCGCGCCGCAACCCCGTGTCCTGGAACACCATGATGGTGGCATGCTCTCAGCACGGGCGCGTCGAGGATGCGCGAGGGCTATTCGATGCAATGCCCGCCCGAAACGAGTACTCCTGGACAATCATGGTATCCTGCTACGTGCGGGCTGGTGAGCTCACCCTCGCAAGGGAGCTGCTCGACCGCATGCCCGGGGAGAAGTGCGCGGCGTGCTACAACACCATGATCTCCGGGTATGCCAAGAACGGCAGGTTTGAGGATGCAATTGCTTTGTTGCAGGAGATGCCGGCCCCTGATATTGTTTCATGGAACTCAGTGTTGGGGGGGCTCATCCGGAATGAGGAAATCTCTCGATCAGTGCAGTTCTTTGATGAGATGCCAGATAAGGACTTGGTGTCCTGGAACTTGATGCTAGAGGGGTATGTGCGTGCTGGGGATTTGGATGTGGCCAGTGCATTCTTTTCAAGGATCCCCTCACCTAATGTTATTTCTTGGGTTAACTTGGTCAATGGGTATTGTCAGGCAGGGAGGATGGGCGAGGCAAGAGAATTGTTTGATAGAATGCCTGAGCGTAATGTTGTGGCTTGGAATGTGCTGCTTTCTGGGTATGTGCAGTTCTCTCAGGTGGAGGCGGCCTATAATCTGTTTATAGAGATGCCAGAGAAGAATTCAATCTCATGGACAACGATGGTGAGTGGTTTTGTACGTTCTGGGAAGCTCCAAGAAGCGAAGGATGTGCTCAGCAAGATGCCTTCCGACAATGTCGGAGCAAAGACTGCACTGATGCATGGCTATTTGAAAAGCAACCTGATTGATGACGCCCGTCAACTATTTGATGGAATTGTGGTTCGGGATGCAGTGTGCTGGAATACAATGATATCAGGATATGTTCAGTGTGGTATGCTTGATGAGGCCATGGTTTTATTCCAGCAAATGCCGAACAAGGATATGATTTCTTGGAACACCATGATTGCTGGCTGTGCTCAGGGTGGACAAATTCGCAAGGCAGCCAGTATTTTCAGGAAAATGAAGAGGAGAAATACAGTTTCATGGAATTCAATTATCTCTGGATTTGTTCAAAATGGTCTATTTGTTGAAGCACTGCAGCATTTTATGCTTATGAGAAGGGATGCAAAGAGCGCTGACTGGTGTACATATGCATGTTGTCTAAGTGCAAGTGCAAATTTGGCTACTCTGCAAATAGGGAGACAATTCCACAGTCTTCTTGTCAGGACTGGGTTTATCAGTGATTCTTCTCCTGGAAATGCCTTGATTTCTGCCTATGCTAAGTGTGGAAGGATGTTGGAAGCAAGACAAGTCTTTGATGAGATGGTAGTACAAGACATCGTTTCATGGAATGCACTCATCGATGGCTATGCTTCTAATGGTAATGGGTCTGAGGTGATAGCAGTATTCCGGGAAATGGAAGCTAACAGTGTCAGACCTGATGAGATCACGTTGGTAGTTGTGTTATCAGCTTGCAGTCATGCTGGGTTAATTGATGAAGGATTGCATTTCTTCAATTCGATGATAAAATTGTACTCGTTAAAGCCTGTGGCTGAGCATTATACCTGTATGGTTGATCTTCTTGGAAGAGCTGGGAGACTAAGAGAGGCATTTGAACTTGTTCAGGGAATGCAGATCCAACCAAATGCTGGTGTCTGGGGTGCATTGCTTGGAGCATGCCGCGTACACAAGAATCACGAGATAGCATGGCTTGCAGCTGAGAAGTTATTTGAATTGGAACCTTGCAAGGCCTCAAATTATGTCTTGCTGTCAAACATCTGTGTGGAGGCAGGGAAATGGGATGATGCTGACAAGGTGAGGGTTTTGATGAAAGAGAGGTGTGTATACAAGCCACCTGGATTAGCTGGATCAATGTAGTCAGTACTCTTGGATATAACGATCAGTACTCCTGGATATATATAACAAGGAATCACAAGGCCGAGCCCATCAGCAGCAGGGGCACAGGCGCACAGCATGGGGAAGTTGGCAGCAGCACCACCAAGAAGGGTGACCACCATCGTGCCACTGCAAGCCCGATGGAATTGAAGTGGGAGGCTGCAAGCAGCATAAGAACAAAAGGGAACCTATCAGCTCCTCAATCAAGTACTTCCGTATTTTGTTCTATCAAATTTTTGGACCAACAAAGCTTTGGATGCTCATGCATAATAATTTGCAGCATATTACGATCATGCAATATTCATATCAGCAATAAAATGTTGGATAATTCTGGATATAGGGTTAGTTGTTTTGATTTATTTGTAAACTACTACTCCCTCCGTCCCAAAATATAGCAACCTAGGATGGGAATGGGTCCTAGGTTGCTATATTTTGGGACGGAGGGAGTATATGACTCGTCTTCCCTTCCCTAAGTACCAAAATGCGGAGAAGAAATGTAGGACTTAGAAATATGATGATTGATGTTAAATTTATGTATTATCTCACTGTTTAAAGAATAAAAGGAATGTTTTTTTCCCGCAGTAGCGAGGATGTAATTAGATACTTTAATTTATTTCCCAGCTGTAACAAACATTTTTTCTAATTGTCTGAATTAATTGTACAGAATTTCTAATTATTTGCTAATCAGAACTAAAAAAATGTGTGTTACAATTATAGATGCTTAATGTTATTTTTCTGTTGAATTTCTTATATTGCAGTGTTATGGAGCTTCCTGGAAGCCTAGGCATTGTTTGTGGAAGTGGCAAGAACAAAAGGATTTCAAGGCATTGCTTGAGCTATCTTTGGAGTTTGGATCCAAGGTGGAAATCAGAAGGGCGTTTCAGAAAAGGATACTGTCAAGTTCTAGAAATCGTACTTGGTAAGAGGTTGCCAAATTCTTGCCTTACTGCTGTTCTGTGCACTGAGTCGAGTGATGCACTTTAGGACCAAGTTTGGTGGAATTGAGTTGATGCTTCAGTAGTGGCTTTTTTTGTAATGACAACAGAAAGATGATGCAGTGCAACAATACGATGATCATGGGCTCATGGATGGCAGAGTAAGTCATTGAACTAATTATCGATGATTATGGCTTACATTATTCTGGCTTTTTTTTTTGAATTGATTGATCCCTGTGGCATTAGATTTCATACCATACTGTTAAGTATTTAATAATTGACCCACTTGATTTTCTTATGTTAAGAATTTTTTAATATCCCCACGTAATCTCACTTGCTTTTACTCACTTCATTGTACTGCACATGTGCATTGTCAGTAGATAACTACATTTTCTAAATCCATGTTTAAGTAATTCTGTAATCTTGCAATATCTTGCTTTTACTAACTTCTGAAAATTTTCATTACCAGATAAAACAATGAGGAAAAAAAAATGATGTGATGGCTATTGGTCATTCGATCTGTAAGATTCTCATTTTGAGGGCCCCTTTGAATTGCAGGAATGGAAAAACGCAGGATTCTGACAGGAATGCAGGTGTAAAACAGAGGATTGGAAAATACAGGAAAAACACATGAATGACCGTTTGATTGGACCACAGGAAAAACGCAGGAATCAGATGAGAGAGATAGACTCAAAGGAATTTTTCCAAAAGGTTGGACCTCTCGCTAACTTTCCTCCAAAATCTCTATAGGATTATCCATTCCATAGGAATTTTAAAGGATAGTATAGGATTCAATCCTTTGTTTCAAAAGCTTTCATAGAAATTTTTTCCATAGGATTGAAATCCTTCAAATTTCCTACACTTTTCCTACAAATCAAAAAGGCCCTCAGATTTTGAATTCGTAGGACTGCTTGTTTTGTCTTGACTTCGGGATTAGAGACCTTCCTTTATTTCATAAACATGTTCAATTTTGGTACTTCGAAGTTGTATTTGCTTGCACTATGACAGTTTGTAATATTGTGTATTATAAACCTGCATGTCACAAAATCTGGAGCTTCTGTCCTGCATAGCTCAGTTGTCACAGAATGATTTCTGCAACAGAGTAAGAGCCCCTTTGGATTTAAATTTCATAGGATTCAAATCCTTTAGGAAATTTTCCTATTTGGGGATTGCGCATCACATGGTTGTCGCGGGCTTCCTGTTGCGGCGGCGTGAATACTGCAATCCCCACGTGACATCTCTCCCCCTGAGAAGTAGTTCGTCCTCGAGCTGAAAGTTAGCCACCGGCTTATTTTTCCATTGAACAAGAACTTCACGTAGACCATGAGCCAAACGACTCTGCGAAACAGTTTCCAGCTGAAGGCAAACTTGGCCATGATGCGTCGGAGGCAAAGACGGCACGACCTCCGGTGGCACTCCTGTAAACGGCTTCCACAATCCCACATGAAAAACATCATGGAGATGAGCTCCCGGAGGAAGACAACGGCGATATGCCACAGAGCTGATGCACTCGATAATCTGATATGGCCCATAGAACTTGGGTCCCAACTTTCCGCGACCTCTCACTGCGAGAGATGCGATTGGCTGGTGCAGCAATCCTCCTTCCAATTCCCTAGCCCGTGACAACTTGGTATCAGATTGCTTTGGTTCTGTGTCCATGGGCTCCGAGATCGTTGACATCCCCGACACTCTCTTCGCCGGCATCCGCAAAGACTTTGCCGAGATGTCAAAGAAGATGACAAAGGTGGCGGCGCAACTCCAGGCCTTGGCGGCCCAGCTGAGCACGCGGCCTCTCTTGAGGATGCTAAACCATCATACCAGCATGCGTCGTCCTTGCGTCCACGGGGACGCATCTTCAAGCAGCACGGATGTCGGCAGCAACTAGCGGTGACGCCGCTCCATGGCAGCCCGTCGCCGACAGCCTTCTCTACAGCGTTGTTCCGACGACCATGGGGAGGGATGGGCTACAGGCTCCGTCTACCGACAGCAGCGGTGCAAATGGGTGGTGCACTGCCAGGGTCAACGTCGGCAATTTTGCCACCGCTCATGCATGTGACGCCTGGCTCACCATCCAGGGGCGTTGGGAATGGTGTTCTGCAACCAAGTGGAGGCAGCGCGACTCATGGCGAGGCGCTCTTGCTTCCTTGAGTGCTAGCACAAATTCCAGGAGCGACAGGTACAATTTAGCGTAGGAAGAAGGGGAGGAACAATACAATCTTGTCGGTGTTCGGGGTCGGGAACTCCTCCTCGGAGTCCTCCCGCCAGCCGATGAGAACCTGAGGAGGGAGCATCCCCTCCTCCACCGCCTCCTCCAGCATCGCCGTCGTCACCATCGATCGCATCCAAGAGACGGCTTGATCCAGGATCGGGACGGATTTCGCCATGGACTACGACATGGTGGCGGCGGAAAGCGGAGAGCTTCGATGAGGGGAGCAGTTGTTAACAGTGAAATTTGGCAAGATCAGATCAGATTTGAAGTTGGGTATCGAAGCGGAATCGAAGGAGATTGGATCTTTGCCAAAACGGACTGCGAATCGACTGGGTAGCGTATCTACTGAAAATAGAGTAAGAGTATGACTGAGTCGATATGGCGAGCAGTTGATACAACTTGACTTGGGCTCGGTTTAGGCCTCGATTGGGATAACCGTCATTGCCGCATAGAGATAAAGGTCATTTAAGGCAATTGTATCTATTAATTAGGATATTAATGCCGGTTTGAGTTAGAGATATGTTAAGAGTCTGCCACGTGGACCTGTTTGTATTTTATCTTTAGGAAAGTTTGAGTCGTGTCCATAATGGACAAGTTTTGTACTCGGGGTATAAATATAAACCCCAGATCATTGTAATAAGGGACGACAATCCAATCAATACAACTTCCGATGCATCGCCATCCTTTTCTTTTTACTTTTCGATGAGTTCTTGCTTCAAGTTAGGGCATCGACAACGATTTCTTGACAAGAGGTAACTTATCTCGATGGCTTGCGCTATCGGGGCTATTATGTCGCTTTAGATGTATTAGTCCTTTTATCCTGATGAAAGATCAAACTCATTGCTCTTTGATATGTTGCACTGGCATTCTTTAACCCAAAAGTCATATGCTCTTTGATATGTTGCACTAGCCGTTTTGAACATGTTCTCTTTGGCCATAAAGATTTGATTGCAGTCAGCATTACCATCTAAAAAGCTAATAACATTATGTCCCGAAGCATCATTAATCAACATGTCGGCTATAGGCATATGATATTCATATTTAGGAGTAACTTTATTTAAATCTCTAAAATCTATGCATATTCTAATCTTACCAATTCCTTTATTCTCAACCGGAACAATATTGGGCACCCACTCCGCATATCTACATGGCCTAATAAACCCCGCTTTTAACAATCGGTCTATCTTTTCCTTGACACGATCGTATATGAGAGGATTGAAATGAAGAGGTGGTTGTTTATAAGGCCTAAATCCTAATTTTATCATAAGTCGATGCTCAACAAGCTCACAGTTAAGTCCTAGCATCTCATGGTATTCCCATGCAAAACAATCAACATACTCATTAAACAACTCAATTATTTTAACCTTATAATCAACCTTGGTATAGTTCCATCACCTATATCTACTTCCTCTAATGGATCAACCGATGTAAAACCTTGATCCAACTTCTCCACTTCAGCAAAATCTTCAATGGACTCACCAATATCGTTCTTTATATACCGATATTCTTGTACCCTCTTTTGCAACCACTCTAAATTAGCATCCTTACTCATCATACATAGCTATATTGCCAAGCCGAAAACTAGACGGCTTTAAAGAGATAGGTACAAAGCCATCTTAGAAATACTAATAAAAACCATAGCTAGAAAGATCTAACCCCGACAAGCATTGAATGTTTCCATGTTGCCATTCAATTGAAGCATTGGCCATTGCAACCTCAGCCGATGTATCCGCTTGAACAATCTCAATATTATTATTGTCGCATTGAATCAAGCATTGGTGCAAGGTGGAAGGAACGCAACAATTGGCATGAATCCAACAACAACCCAAAATAACACTACAGTTACCTTGCACGTCGATGATTAAGAAAGCGGTAGGCAACATCTTGTTTCCTATGGTAAGCTCCACGGAAAAGATCCCTTTGGCCTCCGTTGGTTCACCATTGAAGCCGTTGAGCGTCATGTTGGTCTTCTTCAACTCTTCATCTCCACGCCCCAACTTCTTGAATAGTAAGTATGGCATCAAATTCACGGTGGCACCACCATCCACTAACATCCTAAAGATCGTCTTCCATCAATATGTCCCTTGAGATATAGAGGCTTCATATGACGATTAGACTCATCAGGCTTCTCAAAAACCATATCCCTTGGTCCTAGTGAAAGTTGGGCAATTCTGGCCTCATCCATGGCATGGAACTCCATAGGCAACATACACACCATGTTGACATCCATGTTCCCTTGGCGGTGAATCATTACTAACAATTGGTGGCTCATCTTCTTTCAAGTCTTCCCTTCCTCATCTTGAGCAACCACCGGCTTTTAGACCTCCATTGGCTTAGGCCTCCACTCTTGTCTTGCTGGTGGTCGCAACTCATTGAATCTCATATCTCTCCACTCTTCGGATTTCTTTTCCCTCATTTCTTGAGCACGAAGATGTTGCAACCTCCTCTTTTGTGAAGCCGTCAAATTCTTAGGCATCCACCTTTAATTTGTCTCTATCCCAGGAGCAATGTAATGTCCCTAATTGATTTTACTTGATGAAGATGAAGCTCCCGAACTGCTCCCTAGATGACCCCGGTCAGACCGACCTCGAGACCAGGTCAAACCGGTTGAAGACCGCCGGTCAGACAGGCCCTTCGCGATGGTCCAGCTCCTAATTGGCTTCAATCAGACCGGCCCTAAGGCGCGGTTAGACCGGCCAGAAGGCCTGGTCAGACCAGCACTCTGCGTTATGCTGGTCCCGGCTTTGGTTTTCTTACTCTGGACCACCTTGGCTCTATTTCCAGTAGGTATTGGTACATCATAAGACCCCACTTTGACAGTAATCACCTTCGAAGTCCTTGGCTCCACTTTAGCATGCTTTCTTCCTCCTCTTTCCTCCTCAAACCGATTTTTTGACTGAAACCGGTCTTTGCTTGATAAAGACAACCGCTCATGCACTGACCTTCGTGGCTCTAGCTAACCTTTATAAAATTGCATTGGCAGCATGTACTCGTACATTGGTGGTGGTGCCTTTCATGGCATGAAGTAAGGGAAAGGATAACCCAGCGGCGTCATTGGACAAGGCCCCCATGGCATGAGTTGAGGATTGTAAGGAAAAGGTTGCTCCAATTGCCTTGGTAATCAACACATTCTCTCCCAAGGAAGTGATCTTGGTCTTTTACCCTTATTAGGATGTTCCTCGGCACTCTTCTTCCCATACTTGTTCAAAAGCATCTAAAAAGACGCCTTTGACTTTTGTGGCGTTCTAGAACTTGAAGCTTCACCTTTATTCT